ATGTGATTTGGGGGTTAGAAACGCAACCATCTCATGTCATGCTTTTCAACATCACATGTTGAAAAGCATTTCCATGGAGCAATGATATCAGAGACCATCCGCCAAATGTGAATGTGTTATTGAATAACAATATAGGTCTATTCAGCCATTTACACGCAGGCAATTTTTTTTAACCTTGTCGTTTTTCCACATTCTGCAGAATGTTGACAAGAGACATTCATCTCAGCCATTTTTTTTAAACAGCTATGAAATTTAATCAGCAGCTGACTGAATTTATTCAATGTCATTTTTTGTTCCGAGTCCAATGCCTGAAACAACAATATGACTATTGATTACAATTGATCTGATTGATCTGATTTTTTTCTACAGTAAAGATTGCAGGAGAAAAGACATTTTACACTGTAACCCCTCTGTGCAAGGCAGAGTGAGCTGTGCATATGGCATCAATAATTAAAACTTCAATAATTAGACCAGGAAACTTCTGCTTCCAGTGCTGAATTAGATCAACCTTGAAAAAATATATATAAATATAGAACTGATTTAAGAAAAAAAATATAAAAGTCTTTTGAAAAACCTTCAACTTTTAGTAGTTTAGTTAGTACTGACTCATTAAAGAACAATAAAGCAATTCTTTTTGGTACTGAAAGAAATCTCATGTTTCTATCAGAAACATTAAGTACAACATGAGGAAAAGTTTAGATTTGGACCAAGAAGGGTGCTACCTGCAAACTGGCAAGAAGGCCTGTTTGGAAGAATGTGGCTTTAACTCTACAGCTAAGACCATGTTCATGGATGATGAAGATGAGCAGCATATTTGAAACCTGGATGCATATTCTAGTCTCTGCAATGATGCAAAGTGAAAACGAATAGTTGCTGACTGGTTCTTTCTTCATTCCTTAAGAAAGACGTAAAATAATATATAATAAAATATTATTGAGGATTTTGTGTTTTATAAAGACCAAAAATGTTGGAATTCATTTCCCAGTAGTAGTTCTTCCTGGAATAGCGATTTACTTTAACTCCACACTTCCTTCATAGATATGATGAGCAAATTGAAAAGATACATTGTAATAATTTATTCATTGTGCAATGACGACATCCATTTTGTACATACATTACAAATATTTAATATATGGTTCATAGCGACATCAAGATTTTTGGTGATAACATATACCAGTAAACAGTCACCAACCCAGAATTCAAATAATTCAATTTTGCTACATTGTGGCCAAAAATAAACCAAACTAATGAGCACTTAAGAAATAATGCACATATGGGTAATAAACATATAATAGCCCTCCTCACAGTGCTTTCATAAATCATTAGAAAACTATTAAAGCTACTTATAGAAAAAGATTTGACTCATACCCTCACCACCAAATAGCTCTCATAAAGTTATTTCATTTTCATTCCAAACCCAACCCTTCCTTTCTTCCTGTACTCGTTGTCCTTCTTTCCCATCCCCCAACTCTCTCTGAGATGAAGACTGTCAATAGACCATATATTTGACATACTGTACCATGCACTCACACTGCTCCAGTCTGCAGCAGAAGGTTTTCTGGTTTGTGGCTAAATGAGGGAGATGGAGCTGGATGGAAGCACAGAAGTATTAGCTAGTTATGTGCCATACATTCAGATGTCTGTAATGTCTTTTTTATTTTTTTTAATTTAGCATAGCAGGTTTTCTAACATAAAAAAGAGGTACGGTGGTGTAATCATTGAGAAACTATAAGTTTTTATTTAGAAAAACCAGCAAATCCCAACCAGAAGAAACATATTCAATAAAATCTTCTCATTGAAATGAAAGAATAATTTTTCCCCCCAGTAATTTGATTAACTTCTTTTTATCTGGGGTTAATGTTTGCTCTGAAACCAAAGCAGAAAGACAAACAATAATTCAAATTACTTGATGCACTACCAGTTTAACTGTTATCTCAACGTTCAGTTTGGACATCCATCCAAAGTATGACCAAACTTTAGTAGTCTTCTTTCAGCCTGCTGACCAGTAGTGTGCAGCAAACAGTCGGGGTTGGAACTTCAGTGCACAGTGTACACAGACTGAGAAAATGTAAGATGATACATTTGAACAGATTTTGGAACCAGCTTTTTGAAATCTTGGCAAGTCTTTGTTCACCACTTGAGCATTGCAATGTGGTGTTCTTTTGGTTTTTCTTCAGAGCATTTCTATTTGACAAACTCCTCTGTAAAACTAAAGCCCATGTCATCTGAACAGACCCATAACCAGCTGAATCTAACAGACAAACGTCAAAAAGTCAGAATGACTCCTCTGAATTGTCTCCACGCTGCTCTGCCTTTCTCAAAACTCGGCCTGACACATGAACAATGGAGAAAACACAAAGCAAAAGATTTCCACATCTGCTGCTTCACCCAAATCCAAGCGACTTTTCCCTTTTTCTCCCCTCTTCTTGTCATTTCTCACACACACCATGCAGTCACACTCTTTCACACTCCACCTCTCCTCGCACTTGCGTACACGAACCGACGCTCCGACAGAGCGCTGGCTCTCGTTGGCAGCGAGGCTCTGGAAGAATGTTTGGCGCTAAAAGCTTGAAGGAACACACGCCACCGGCACAGACTCGACACGCTGCCTCCTGGAGGCCTGCATGCTGACACAAGTGATGAATGACGCTCAGCGGGGGAAATCAGAAAGACCATGAAGTTATAAACAGTGAAGTCACTCCGTCGTCTTTAAAAAGGAAACACACAAACAGGTAAATATGTGCATTAAGATAAAACATTAATGCATACATTGAGTGGATTTGGCCTCAACTACACTGAAATAAATTTCAAGCATTGACTCTATTTTTCATTTCCAATTTTCACCTGATACTTATGAGAAAGGTTTGGGGTGGACATGAATATGAATACAATGAATATAATTGAGTGAAAGCAAAAACAAAATGGAAACCTAACAATCAGTTAAAATTCAGTGAACAGCAACAGGTGGGGGAGGAGAATCTGAATGATCTTGTATGCTTTCTGCTGCCAGGGAAAATTCAGGTCACTTTAACACTTCCTCCACTGAAGTTGACTTTTTTCTGATCTGAAACCATTTCCAACCTTTAAGAAGTTCAGAATACCTTATCACAGGCAACTGATCCGTGTCTGAACGGTCAAAAAGAAAAGTTCAGGATGTACCATTCTGTTTACAATCTACTCTCACTAGCTGCGTTTCCATTAACCATAAAGTTCCACAAATTGAAATGACAAAAATAAACTGTCTTCACAGAATGATGCCAATATCAAAATAGCACTCTTCTTTTTTCAATAAAAAGATTTGCCATTTGGGTGGGATAGTTTTTTTTCCATATCAAATTGTTTATTTTTTGCAAAACTGCAAAATAAGTTTTGCAATAACACTTGTGTGATGTGGCTCGCATCGCACAAGTGATCAACAACCAGATGTTGCCACAGCCGCAAACCATGAAGAAGAAGGTGACAAGAAGCAATTGGCATGAAATGTTTCTTAATGACTTATTATGTGAACAAACTTTTCATGTATGATTTTGATACTGTTTCTTATCAAATGGAAACAAACCAATTGGGAAATTGTGTGCTTTCAACATTAGAGGAATAGTGACAAAATTTTGCACACATTCTAAAGGAAACACAGTAACTTATGGTCAAGAAGTATAAACCTAGAGCAAAAGAGAAAGAATACAGGGTTTCCTGTGTGGGGAAGGTAGGACCACGATCAAAGATCAATATCTGACCTGGCCTCAATCTGGACTTCTTCTCTCTTCTTCTGGACTCTGGCACTTGATAATAGCTGTATCTGGTTCCAACATAGCTTAGCACAAGAAATCCAATGATTGTTGCCCATTGCATCTGTATCAGACCATGCCTAGACTGAGACTGACATCAGACTGAGCCAATCAAGAGTCTTGATTGGGCTTTGTAACCCAAACATCTCACGGTGGCAGTTATTTCCTGTATTTGTGCTCAATTTTTTTTTCACTAACTTTTCCTTTCACTCTGTTTTCCATTGATATGTTTGGATGAAGTAGTGCAGGCAGCCAGTTTCAACAGCAATGAGTTTTGATGGCTTATTCTTCCTCGTGGAGGTTACCAACAACAGGCTGCAGCACAACTGTCAAGTCTGCTGTCTTCTATAATTGTGCAGGGTGTAACGTAAAGTAACATTTCTCTGCTGAAAATCTGTTTCACTAACTTTGCATTTTAACATTCTGAAAAACTGATCTTGGGGTTTTTGATAATTCTAAGCCATAATTGTCAACATTAAGATACATGAATAGTCAAAATAGATCACTTTGCGTATAATAAATTGCACACCTGTTTACTAGCTTCTTTATTGAAATGAAAAAGTTGCTGGTGTTTCCTCCCTTTAGGATAAATGGAAATATGCACTAACACCTCATGTTTCCAGTACCCATTGGTGGGTAATACTGAGGACTCAAACACCCATTTTATGCACAAATCAGTTGGTAAACCAGGTTTAGCACTTTAGAGGAAGTTTGAATTAAACCTACAACCTTTAATTGGAAGATGATTTTTCACCACTGATCCACACAGGATTTCTCCCTAAACTTTGCACATATTAGCTCCTAATCTGTCCTTTTATTTACTTTTTAATTGTGTTCAATTTTGTGGATGGATTTAGTTTTTTTCACGTTTGCAAAATAAATAAATGAATAAATAAAATAAAAGACCAGCTTTAACTAGTCAAATTGAAAACATTCGTGACTTTAAAGTGGCAAGTGAATTTTATTTTATTTTCGGAATAAGTACACTAGCATTTCTAAAGTTTCTTTAAAAGTTTTTATTTTAGGGTCCGGTTCCTGTGGTCGCATCACCTCTGGGGTTTATGGATGACTTTCTTATAAACTAAGATTTTTTTTCACATTTTGTTGTTTAAAAAGAGCGTCATGCAGTCTGTACCTCAGAGTACTGGACTTACTCCCGAAAAAAAAAACCTCAAACATTGTCTAACTTTTTGCACCAGTTTCCTGTTGGCGTACCTGGTTGGAGGTGTCGGGCGGCAGGTTTTTGATGAGGATTTTCCTCCTGTTGCTCAGCTCCCGGCGAGTTTTGGCCAGCCTCCTCTCGATCTCCTCCGGGTCCAGGTCCGGCAGGTCGCGGAGGCTGACGCCCGGCTCGGAGGGCTGCGCTGCGGCCGCCGCCTCCTCATCCTCCGGCTGCCTGCTTTCGGGGCTGTCCATGTCCGGGGAGAGCGCGCTATCCCGGGTGAGAGAAGAGTGAACACTCGGCGGCTGGATGGACGAGGCTGCCGCCATCTTGGGAAGCTGAGAGAAAAGTGTTTAAAGAGAGAGAGAGGTAGAGAAGTATAGACAGGGAGAGAAAGAGAGAGAGCAGGTGGGAGGCGTGTGCGTCCCAACAACCCAGAATAAACGCAATGATAACACTAATTTCAACCATTCAGATCTAATTATTTCCCCTTCTTGTGACTGGGGAAAATATGATTTTATATTTACTTATAAGCTCCCGTTTTAAATAGTTTAATCCATATTCTTTTGTCTGGTGTTATTCTTAATCAGTTAATTAATGATTAAAATTCATGTTGCAGTGTTTGAATCTATTTACGAACATTACTGTGTAAAAAAAAAGAACAAACAAAAAAAACAACAGTAAAATAAGTTTTTAAATGTAGTTTGAAAAAACAAAATTGTTAGTTGATTTGTGCTGCTGGCACCTCGAGCTCGTTGCGCCCCCAACTGTCTGTTCAGTGTACTACAAATAAGCTTAGTCAGAGTTCACCTTCCTTTCTATTCAACCTAAAACTTTTGTGAGCCTGATTTTAGGCAAAAAGAAAAAAAAACACGAATCAAATGAACCACATGTAGCCTCTATAAAATGTTTTGTGTTTCGATAAAGAACGTCTACATTTCAGCTCTTAGTCTCATCTAGCAGTTCAGTTCTGAAGGGGAAAAAAGGCATTCAGTGCAGAATTGCTTTTAGCCACCATTGCTCTCCTGCTCTCTGTGTGCATTATGTGGCTATGAATGCCTGTGTGCCTTTCCTCCTGTCTACCCAAGTCATCCAGTGAATGCCAACCTAAGAGCCAACTGAGCCAGCCTGCCTGCCTGCCCACCGTGGGTGGAAATCTGCTCCTGGCAAACACAAGGGGAGCAAAGCTCCCTGCAGAGTCCTCACAATGCCCATGCAGCTTCCGCAGGCAGCGTGAGTCGCTTACAGGAACACACGCTGTAAACTCACATTTACATGCTGCATCCACATTCATATAGACACACAAGCATGTCAACTCGCACACATCAACCCACTTAGGAAATATTTAGACCACAATTGTGCCGAGGCCTTTTAGAGACAGTGAAATCGGGCTTCTCGTTCTCTCTCTCGCCATCTGTGTGGAGTGTTTCTTGGCAGATCGAAGTCCAGACAATCACAGTTGTCAGTGGGTGAAAATGATCTCACTTTGCCAAGTGGCTGAGCCAGTGTAACTAAAACGCAGTGACTGTACAGTGTGTGCACTGTTGAACGCTTCAATTAGGCTTGTACTCAGTCCACTCCAAAGCAGAAAGGCCAAAGAAAGGGCCATGTGTGTAGCTCTGTTTCAAAATGAAGCAAGTTTATAATTTGGCTCTTGGTTTGTTCAATTTCATTTTCAGTACTAAAAATACCAAAGCACAGTTTCCAATGAGAATCACAAACATAAAAGGATATTTTTCTTCACTGTGACTCTAATGTGTCTCGAAGTTTTCTCAACCAATATAGCTACAAATATTTTGGGGATATGTCTTTTCCAGTTTTACACATCTGGACAAACCTTTGTCCAGATGTGTAAAAAATGTGTCCAGTTTTACAAACCCGCCTCTCGCCCGGAACATTAGCTGGAGATAGGCACCAGCACCTCCCAACCCAACTAGGGACAAGGTTGTAAGAAAATGGATGGATGGGTGGACATTTTTTTTGTCCATTCTTTTTTGCAACAAACCTCCAAATCACTCTGACTGCATGGAAAGCATCTGAGATAATACATTTTTAAGTCTGGTAGTTGATTCTCAAATGCTTTTATGTCTGGGCAACATTGATGCAAATAAAGGCCAAAGAGATGAAGCAGACAATTTTAATTGTAAAAAAGTTGGTGAAATGCCCAGCTTTGGGCTTTGCGTTGCTGAAGTGAGTAGTGATGGTGGACAGATTGATGGACATGAATCACCGAGCAATGGGTTTGTGGAAAGACAACAAGGACTTGCCTGTCACTTAAACAGGCAGATTTTTTGGAGATGCATGAATCACCCCACTTAGTGCTAAACAACGTTTCCATGAGAGAACAATTAATTTCTTCTCTCGGTCCCTTGGCAAAATGCGTGCCGGTAGAGTGTTACGTATAAATCACATCGGCCTGCAAACGCCCCACGTGGTGCGGTTATACAAACCATCCTTCCAAAGCTTTTTACCTATGCATAAAGTCAGCCTCCTGTTATAATGGACTGCACTTCACAAACTGAGAGGAGAATAGATGTTAGACATTCTCTGTGTAAAACACAAGAGCCCTGCCAATGCAGCGAGTCAGCCGGTGATTCACAGGCCTTTGGAGTGGGTGGCGGTGGAGAGGAGAAGAAGAAAGCGGGAACACGTTTGGTGCTGCAGCTCACTGGGACTGAAGAGTGCGAGGGCGTGGGTGGGCTGAGTGGCTGAGCAGGCAAAGCGGGCACCTGGGACGAGCTCAGTAGGCGTGAGGACAGGGAGAGAGAGAGAGCAGAAGGGGTCGGTAGGGAGAGAGAGAAAGAGAGGAAGGGTTTACAATGAATGTCAAAGTGGCTCATTGTGTGGAGGAGTTGGAAGATTAGGAAATGTACATATGCATGTAAATTGTACAGAGTATAATCATCCTGCATTCCTTTCAGAAATGGAAGAGTTGGTTGGAAAATGATTTGCATCTGTGTCTGGCATTTATAATTTATCGTAATAAATTTATCATCATGATAAGGTTTAGATTTTTCCTTGTCTCAATAAATTCCAATTATTGATGTTTAAAATCCTCAAAAACTGTCCGTATTGTTGGAATTGTTAGTTTTAATAGTTTCTCCACTGTTTTTACATTGAGAGTATCACTGATACCAATACATTTGAAAATGATTAAAAACAGTAAATAATAATAATAATAAATAATAATAATATAATAATAATAATAATAATAATAAAATAATGGAGGAACTGGGTTCCTGTCTAAGAAAGAAATTCAAATAATCAAACTTCTTCATATGACTGATGTCCTAAACAAGCATATTACAATTTTTTTCAAGAGCAGTATTTATATTTGCGGAGATATTATTGCTCTCATGCAGTCACAGTCAAAAAATGCAATTGACAAAACATTTTAATTAACTAAAATAAATAAAACCAGTAATACATTTGGAAAAACTATAACTAACTGGAACTATATTGTGAATTTGTATAACTAACACCTACTGAAATTATAGATATAATATCCTTAGTTTTTATGTTTGCAAATATATTTATTAACCTTTCAAACTGAAGTGAAATAAATCCCTCTTCCCCCCAAAACAAGCAGTTTATGTCAGCTGTCAGTAAATTACAACACTCCATGCTTCTCCTGGCGCCGCTTATACTATTCTGCAAAATGGCAAAAGCAAAAGTTGGGAAGTAACACCAAAGTCAGTATCTTCTGTTGAGTATTCAGTACTCAATCAACGTATACACAATGTAATACAACACTTGTCGAATTCTACACCTAAAAGTTAACCAAGTATCAAAAAATTAAAACTACTATAATAGCTAATAAAACCTAAACTAAAACTTAATATTTAACTAATAACAACTGATAAAAACAAGGAAACATCTAAAAGATAATTAAAACTAACCTAACTAAACCATATTGAAAAACAGAAAAGTGTTATAACCCTGGTCCACATCAATCAACTTTTCTGCAGACGCAACATAAACTGTCACCGGTGCAAAGTGGATTAATTTCTCTTATGGCAAAGCAGAGATTAGAGGACGTGTGACCCACTAAAAACAGCTGACCAGAACACATGGGGGCAATATCCAAAAGAGCTCCCTGCCCAATTCATGTCCTAATTACAGCAGCCATGAACATACTCCATCATCAGAGCATGAAGGAGGCTTCTTAAAGAAAAAATATATCAAACATCAAGAAGATCTTCTGTGTTTTTGACAAAATCAAAGGGAAAAAACAGCAAAGTCGATCAGTAGCAAACTGCAAATATTCTCCCTTACATGCAGGATCCAGATCATCGCACTGCTAATATGCATTTAGGAAAGTAGGACTGGGAGACTGGACGACACATGCACACACACACACACACGCACACACACACACACACACACACACACACACACACACACACACACACACACACACACACACACACACACACACACACACACACAAAGTGCTGCTGGTGCATGTCTGCTGCACTGGTTGGCAGAGCGGAGACTGACTGAAATGACCTGAGGGTGCTTGGATGCCGAGCTTGGTGCTCTAATTCAGTGTTTTTCCTGACAGGGAGAAGCAGAAAGTTCCAGGAATGGAGGGAGAGCAGGAGGAAGCTGACAGGGAGAAGCATGCATGGCTTTGAAGAGCAGAGTTGAGTGAATTCAGACTAATGGATCAGACATTTGGGACGTGAGGAGAGAGCTCCCATCTGTCAGGTCCTCAAAGTACTTTTTTACCTCAAGGTGAAACTAATTACCTTGTAGCAGTGAGTTCAGTTTAGACAACAATTACACTGTTTTTAGTAGTACGCCACATACTCACACATAGAGTATGACGTTTAATAAAAATAAGGCAACCTTTCAAAAGGTGTGAGTGAATTCTTTTAAATGAAACTTGTAAGTGCACAGATGTCCTTTTAAAGGTTTTTAAATAAGATTCGTTCAGTGTTTTACTCTCAAGCAAATGTGTCTCTTTCACAAGTAGAAGTGCATTTGTGAAAGTTATGATTTGTGTCTTCATGAAAACGTACTTCACAATTTAATAAGTGGCATTTAGAGAGTTTAAAGAACAAGAAATCCTTCATGTTGGTCTTTCACTCAAGTTTGCCAATAAAGTACATTAATGTTTGCGGGTGTTTAAGTTCCAAAGTGCAGAGAATGAGTACAGATACTTTTGCAAGGAACTTTAGTTGTAAACTTGAGTCCCCATAGACGCGCAATAATAATTCTTATCACTCTCCGAATCACTCACTGACTGTTTGTAAATGCTTCATACAGCCCCACTTTGTGAGGCATTTAGGTACAAATTCACAGTTGTGCCCAAATAATATTTTTATTGTGACAAGTAAAATTGTCCTTGTAAAATAAAAATAAATAAATTTTAAAAAAAGTTATAATATTTTATTGTGACAAGGAAAATTCTCCTTGTACAATAAAAATAAATAAATTTTTAAAAAAAAAGGTTATCACTGAGAGTTGTGCTGTGTTTTTATGTTTTTGATATTTGACATTGTATAAAAGCCAGACCAACACTATAGCAAACACCCGTCTTATATTCAACAAATCAAAACGCCTTTTGATTTGTTGCCCCAAATCAAAAGGCACGGTCTTGTTGCAAACTGTCAGAACCATGTTGCCTCTCCATCTGTGCTCGTTTCTTCAGGTCCCCTGGCAGGAAACACCGCATGTACAGAAAGACCTCATAAATAACTGATCATGTCTTCCAGGCAGTTCCACTATTCACCCAACTCTTCCTCCACCTCCTCACACCCACACCCCCAACAAATAGCTTGACCCAGCAGCTTCAAACATATTGGAAGAAACATTTTGAGAAAGTGGCCTTTTGTTGTCCAAAAGGCCACTTTATGCCAAAATGACCCATTTCTCAATACAAAGGTCAAGAGTCACAGCTCAACATACTTAAGGAGGATGTCTACTCAGACATCATCCTTAAAAGGAGGTAGGCACACAGAGAGAGGCTACTTTTCTTCTTAATACATAAATAATAAAGCCTGGAGTGTTTGACAGGCTTTAAATTGACTGATTTTTGATGGTGAGAGATTCATAATGAGGACATTTCATTGCATCAGTATAGTAGGTCCCTCCATTATTCTATTATCCTTTGCAAATTAAGTTTACAGGCATAATAACATAGGAAAAAAACTGCAGAAACTAGCAGCTATTTGCAGGAGACACAAACAAAAGCTATTTAAATATCTTAATTTGAGTAATATTAAAAGTGGTTTCTCCGCTTTTACAGATTACTTTCCAAATCTGTTCAATTATTCAGTCCTTTCATGACAAGCATCTTCTATGCCTAGTGAAGCAGCAGCTGGGTGTTATTAATTAAAAAAGTACTAAGTGCAAGTAAAATAATCTGGCAGTGGAACAAGACTTTTTAACTTAAAATATGGAAAAAAATATTGTTCCACTGGCTGATTGTGTCCTTTATAGCTAGCACTCTTTGAATATTGAGGAATCTTGATGAAAATGTCAAAAATATTTCAACAATTTGTTAAAATTCTTTCAAACAAGCTCCTATTAGCTACTGAAAAGTTACTTGGAAGTTAGTTTTTGTCTTATTTACTAAGATATTTGCAATTTGTATTTGTGCAGCACAGCTCTAAATAGTTTTTGTTCATTCATTGCTCCACAGAACACAAAGCCTTTTACACTAACTTGTCCAGCTGTGAACAAATTGGACCTGATTTTTCTTATGTTTTTGTGTAAGCAGAGGAGCACAACATGGTATACAGGAATGGGACTGTTCAGAGTTTATATGTGAATCACTGTGAAAATTGCTGCCATCCAGTCTTACAGCAGAGTTTTTCTTTTCAGGTCAGTCAAAAGTTTTTTGACTCCATGCCTCCTCAGGAATCTGGTAGCAGATTCCTACCAGGCCAACACTATCTGGTAGAGATTCCTGCAGAGGCATGGAATCTGATGCAAGCTCATTGTGGATGTAACTTTTTGCCACATCTAGATGGTGCCGCCACTATTTGTTTAATGTGACAATTCCCATCTGTGTCTCCAGGAACAGTCAGGGACTGTTTTCTTTCTGGAATCCTCTTCCTTGTTTGTGCAAGACAACAATCTCTTTTCTGATAATTTTGGTCATAATTATTTCTAGCAGGGAATGAAACTATCAACAGTCCAGATGTAGAGGTGTTCTACTATTATCTGATGCCTTTGATTGGTTGCATCACATACGTTTTAAAGCTAATTCTAGTCAGGGGTTTAAATAAATTTGAGTGGAGAGAAAACTGAAACTAGATTTAGTGTTTACTTTGGATGAACTTGTTTAATTAGCTTTATTTAACTATACAAAACGATCTTGCCAAACTAGTTTGTTGCAACCACCTGGAAAACCTGAATTTTGCCAGTGAGTCTAATTTGCATTGGGGACTGAAACTTTTTCAACGCCTTTCTGTTCACTTTTATTAGTTAGACTTCCTGCTAGTTGTAAACTGGGCCTGAGCTCATACAGTACAGAAAGAATACAACCGATAACCAAACCTGAACGCTCTACCAGCACAGGAAAGGAGGAAATGTGTATCTCATAAAAGATTTCTCTCCGTATAAGGCCAACGTGCCTCTGAAGAGAAGCTCTTTGCAGTGGAGGTGTCCTGATTGTCCCTGCATGAACCAGAGAGGATAATGCAGGCTGGAAAGGCTTCAGACAGCGTTCCTCTGCTGTTAGTAAATGTGAACACAAGGCCAGCAATGACAGACCAGAGGAATACGGACAAAAAGGGGGCCGGGGGGGAAGACTGCAGATCTTTTTCCTGGCTCACAAAAGACAACTTGTGGTAGAGGTGTTCAATGGAATTTTAATGGGTTTATTTTAAAATGTCAAAATATTTTAACAATCTGTTAAAATTCCTTTAGGACCTTAAAAGTTCACAATGCAGCTTAAAAAAAACAACAAAAAGTCAAATTAGTTTTTTTTTTCAGGCTTTCAGCATTTTACTGTAAGATTATTTTATTTGTATGTTTAGAAGCAGCATTTTTCTGTTGAAGTAACACAAATTTGGTTTTTAATCCATCAAGTATTGGATTAAAGGTCCTTCCACTACAATCATAGCTGCAAGCAGGTTTGCATATCTCAGGACGAAAATGTTTGTTTTTTTGTAAAATATCTTTAGTTTGATTGGAAAGAGAGAATCTAAAAACAGGTTAGTTGTAAATCCAATTAGGAGATGCATTTGGACTTTGACTAGACCACCCTGCGACATTTCGTTTTTCCTCTGGTTGTATGTTGAGGGTCAGTGACCTGCGCTCCAGTCCAACATCAAGTTGGAGTCACCTGCCATATGTACTGGTACCAACCTTGTGTATGACTTTTCCCACCCCTAATACAACAATTAATTATTTTATTGTTAATATTCTCCTTTAATTACTGGTCACAGTTTTATGATGAAGCTCGAATCTGTGTGACCATCTGTATTTCAGTCCAGCTGCTTAACTCTGAAATGCTTTACAGCAACTCACAATATGGAATTACAATATTCTGTGTACACAGATTGTTATGATATGCCACATGAGTGGAGCAGCAAACAGACTTTCCCTTAAAGGTGCAGTGATACCTTTAAGGGGTTTCACTGCATTGATACAAAAACCTTTCAGGCCTTTTTGTATTAGTTCTCAGCCATTTATTGCTTTTGTTTTTATAGGGATAAAAAAGGGAGCTGGAGTAAAGTCATAAACGTAGCGTTTAAAAGCCGTTTCAGCCCTGTGTGCCAGGTGAGGCTCCAAAGCAGTCCTTATGGAAATTTACATTAAATTTGCTTCTGTGGAAGAAATCAACACGCCACCTCCTGATCTGTCCTCTACAACTTTCTTTATGAACTACTGATTTTATTTCAGGTGGAACCTTAAAGCCTCAGCTATGTTTTATTTCTAATAGCTTTTTTTTTAAAAGAAGGTTTTTGAAAATCTAGTGGCCTTTATCCATTAGTAGCTGTAGAGGAAGTAGGACAGAGAGAAAAGGGGAAAACAAAATGTAGTTAAAGACTGCTGGAGGACAAATTGACCACTTTTCTCCACTTTTTTTTTCTTGTATTAGTCTCAAATTTGAATTACTTTTGTTTTCTCCCCATAGAAGCTATATCTGCTCTGTCTATCGGTTTGACTGTGATGCCTTACAGAAGGGGCATCAGCTGACAGCAATTGAAAATTCTCCCTTTCCTGACATTAATTTTTTACTTCTCATCAACATGGAAAGTACTCCTACATCAGCTTTTCTGTTTCTTTTTTTGTGTATCTGCTCTGTTTTTTCAAACCTCCAGGTTTGGTGGTAGCAGATGGCTGTTGCATGAACTGAGCCCGGATCTGGAAAGTTCTTCTCTTAAAGGGAAGGTTTTTCTTCTCCACTGTTGCTACATGTTTGTTGTAAAGTCAATGCAATAGATTGTTGTTGCTACATGCTCCTTTAGGAGGACAGAATGCTGCAAGTAAACGACATGATGCAATCTGCTGGGTTTAATTAGATAGAAAACTTTTAAAACTAATTTAAATAACTATTCATCTTTCTGTTTGATGAGTATGATTGATTGGAATGTATGTGTGGTTGAACGTAAATTTCTAGTAGTTCTGATTTAAAACTTTACTAAACACTCATGTTTTTGGATTGAGAATACCTGAATTAATTCACAATTAATAGAAAACATTCAAACTTCACACAAGATTCAAACCCAAGACTTTCTTGCTGATTTAGAAATCATTTAGCCTCCCCTCTGACATCATCCTAGGAATCACAGACAGACAGTTTAACTGTAAAATGCACTTTATCACATTCACATTGCAATTAATCTCAGTCAACTGTATACAATACATTGGGAGCGGGGTTGGGTGACGTACACATGTTCCTTCGGTCAATAACTTGTAATTCTGTGTTCTGTATAAACACACATAGTATTTTTTAAGTCTGTTTAGAAATACTGCTGAAACAAAAAGATGTCGATTTCAGTTTGTAGGGGGAAAAAAATGCTTCCATTTCCTGTATGCCTGTTCCACTCGAATCAAAAGATTTGAGTGGAAAAAAAGAGAAATAAATTAAAAGTTAGGTGGAAACGTTTGGTTTGGTCGTTAATGAAAAACTGTCGAATCTAATTTAGTGTGTGGAGAGTTGTTTTGTATTTTACATAGTTTTCAAAGACACACAATAATAAACCTTTAAAAACTACAATTCTCTTAAACATAAACTGTGTATTAAAATTCCCAAGTACTGACTTCCATCCAATATGGACCTAAAGAAAAATAAGCCTAAAAAAATAAAAGAAAAACATCCAAGGCATCAAAAATATAGCCAGACACCATGAACAGACTATTCAATATCTGAATATCAACATTTGTTGTTTTTTTAAATGAGTGTACAGGACATTAATAACTATTCATGACTCTGTATTTACAGCTTATAATGAATCTCTGCAGACATAGACATCTTGGCATCCGTACGATGCCACACCGACAGGACCTGATCAAAACAAAAGCACGGAAAGAAGCAACCTCTCGGGAGAAACAGAGGATTTTCATTCATAATAAATTCACCTACTAGTCTCTAACACCATTTTAAAAAAATAATGCTTTCAAGGAAAGTGTTTCTGGTGGATAATCACACATTCATCACACATCGTCATTCTCTCTGACACACACAAACACATGTGAAAACAAACAAACAGTTTGAGTGGTTAACCAGAGGAGCCGACGGTCGGGTGTAAACCTCTGCCCAGCAGCAGCAGCGTTCCTCTCCTTCCATTCTGATGAGAACGACGTCGATGCACACAGCCTTCACACGCAGCACATGCAGCATCAGCTTGGCCTCAAAGGCAAAAAGGTCGTAGTGAGACAATGTCCTGTCCCGCTTTCTATTCAGGACAGAAAATGTCCGCCTACGCCAGGAACTCTTAAAGGATCCCCCAATTATCATCCTGACACAAATCTCCCCCGGCAGTGACTAAAGCCAGGAATGTTTTAATGCTGGTGTTGGCTTCAGCTGCTGCTCCTCCATCTACCAAAGGTTGACATTTTTTTCTTTTTCCATCCCTATCAAAGATGCTTCATCTGAACAAGAATACACATACCTCGGGAAAACTGAAATATGTGTTACATGTCATGACACAGAATAAGGCTCATTATCTTAATCCAGCTCCCCCCAAAAAAACATTCAGCTTCTTACACAATTTGAATGTGTTTATGGATGGTTTGAGTTGAATCTGAGTTTGTTCTCACCATAAGCTTGAGAATGGCCCAAAAATCTAAATGCAATGATATCTTTACTGCTGTAAAATCTGATCATCATGTGGAAAAAAGACTTGAAACTAATTTTATTCCATCATCTGTCAGGGATGTGTAGCCTTTATAATCCAAAGAGCCAACTCCTTATGAGCGGCATATGTAACAAGACTGAAAATGAATAATGTGTGAAAAATATCACAATATAAAAATACTGTTGCAATAATAAAAAAGAAACAGTTTTATTTAACCTATGATAGTAGTAAAAATAGATCGAAAAAATGTAATGGTATCTGTCTCTTATATTTTCAGGGGCGAAAAAAAAAAGCAAAAATAATGAGCCTTGAATCTGATGCGCTGTTTGCAAAATGACTTACTGCCTCACTGCTTTGTCAGCTCTTGAAGATCTACGTCTTTAATAAATAGTAGAAAAATAATATTGTATTCATAAAGTGTTTTTTTATGTATTTGAAGAATTGAAGAATTTTCTTCCCTACGTTGACATTCACAAACATTCATGAAAGTGTTCAGGTATCACCCGACAGACAGCATGTTGGATGACACCAGAAGCCTCTTTTTTGGAGAAAGGCTACAACTCCCAGATAAACTCTGGAGACCAGAACATTGAGAGAAAAGTAATGAGTTCCACTAGACGCAGCTCTATTAGGCAGAAAAAAATGTATATATTTTTCTGTTTTTCAGAGATGCTGCCCCGGGTGTGAACCTCTGGGCAAGAGCCCTTTGCTATTTTGGGCTGCATTTATAGTCAAGAAAGATCCATACTGGACCGAACCTTGAAAGATTTGTGTCTCTCCTCAAAGTTTTTGGGCTCCAGTTGTCTCCTGTTCTCGTTAAAACTGCGAGTTCTGAATCCTTCAAAGGAAACAACTGGAAATCCCAACTGCTTACATGTACTGGCCCAGGTCTGCCTTTTGCATGTGCTTTAGGTTAGGTTGAATTAAAGCGGGGATGAGAGCAAGAAGACGTTGCCACGTCGACACATCGTGGCATCATTCATAATTCAGAGTGTGAATCCGAGCATCTCCGAGGAACTGGGTCCAGCTGTGGTGATCTTCCTCCACTCATTTGAACCTTGAAGTACACAGTGTGGATCGTCTCATTAAACTCAAATGTTTTACAAAAATACGTCTTTTATTAAGAACGAGTTCAGTCCGCCGGAGCATCAGCACTCTGCGTCCACGCTGTGCACGGTCACAGCAGCCTGCAGGTGATGCGTCTGTGTGTGTAGCGGGTGGTGGTGGGTGTGCACGTGTCGGTACGGGTGGAATTTGTGGCTCAGGAGCGCGGCTGTCTGAGGGGGCGTGTCCAGGTCCATGTCGTCGTCGTGGTTACCGACGTCGACCCCTGCCGAGAGGGGGTCGTTGTTTCCGGGCGGATTCTCGCTGTCCTCCTGTGGACTCATGGTGCTGTAGCCTGAACACAGAGATTGATCATGTTACCATCGTCCTGGACATATAAAAATACTTTCTTTAAATTTCAATAATTTTATTGTTACTATTGGATAAAATTTTACCATTTGTTTGTTGTCAGACAATAACAAGTTTTATTTTATTAAAGTTTGACATCCAAAAAGATTTAAAATCCAAGAGGAGTTAAGACTGGTCGCCTTTGACATCATCACTCGTGAACGAAATTCAATGTAGAGAGAATAACAAGAAAGGTGAAAATGCCCAACGATTGAAGAAGAGGAGGGGAGAAATGAATAAAAGAGATGAAGAACTGTCCTCGGAATCACAATAAGTTTTATTGGCTAAAATAGTGTGAACAAGAAATTTGACTTCAGCGTAAAAACAGTTTACAGACATCGAATATAAACATAAAAAACGACTTTTAGAGGAAATAAAATAAAGGATAAAGAAACAACTTGTAAAAATGAAGACAGGTTGAAATAATTCATTTATCCACTAATCCACTACAGTATTAGTGCTTTATTAGTGCTTTAAGCTAACTTTGAAAATATTTAGCACACCTAAATCCCCCAGAGAAAATTTTTCTGGATACATTTTAAAGCACAAATTTACTCTTGTTTCGGAACCTTTCAGTGGAATAAAATTCAACATCTGTGTTGAATTTTACATAATTGCTCTTATTTTGAATGGGGTAAAACCTTTTTATAAAGTAGTTATGTTTCCTCTTCTCAGATTCCCTCTATTAATGGTAGGAATTTTTTTTTTACTTCCACTGTTAGTCCAAATGAGTAGCTAGCTTGAGGATATTGTTTATCCTTTTATACAGATGTTAGTCTGTGCTGCAGTAATTTCAAAAATGCCATATTTAAATTTATTGAACAGAATAGCTGGATTAGTTAGTTTTTGTACATTTCTAAAAGTGAGATTACGCTACAGTAATAAGAGATTCATTAATTTTGTGGCTTTTTATGCAGCTGTATTCTTTACAAGTGGCACTAAGTGTCCTGCATGCAAAAAAGATGCAAAGAGTACAACGAGAAAGTGTTCCAACTCATTTGTTCTGTTTCACCATCTGTGGTGCTACATTCAGCAGAAACGCTCACACATTCTGATTTTGTTTCATTTTAGCCCACTCTCTTCTCTTCAAGTTCACCCTTGTTCTCCATCAAACATCGGTTATGCAACAAGTATGAGAGATCCTGGTTGCCAGGAAGTGGAATGATGCCACATATGTGGGAGGCAGAAAGCCTGTGTGGGTGAAAGTGTCCGTCCACAGCAAGTGTCAGACTTAGAAAATTCTTAAAAAGCGAACATGAGCCAGTCGGCTCAGATGAAGAGAAAATCAGGGTTCAGGCTGGTTATTAATGCGAAGAATAAAAGGAGAGCTCAGAACTGGGAGCGAAGGGAGAATGTGAAACTGAACCGAACAATTATTCAGGTTTCTTCTTTTGGACCTTTATGAAGCCTTGAAAAAAGGGAGGTTTTTCTGTTTCCAACGTGTCAGAAAGTTCAGAGTCTGGACAGAGAATTAAGAAACCTTCATTTTTGTCACGTTACATGTTGATGTCATAAAACAAAACCTAGCTATCAGAGTGATTTTTACCCAGTCTTATTTGCAAAACAACTTAGCAGCTTAATTCACTGGAATTGTTTTACAAGGATTGTGATACATCATGTTGGATTCAGGTCTGGACTTTGACTGGGCCGTTTTTGTAGCTCTGGCTGTAAGTTTAGGGGTCGCCTCACAGAATTTTTTTCCAGTGTTGCACTTATTTTACTCCATCCATCAACCCACCAACTCAGTCCTTGTGAAAGGTCTTCCCACACCATTTTGCTGTTTTACTAGATAAAGTGTTTGTTTGTCTTACCGTGGTCACTCTCTGTCCCTGATCGGCCCCAGTATCTCCGTCGCCGTTCAGGACTGTGAGTGTGTCTCTCAATAACTGCAGCTATGAATCTGGTGTTACTGACTGAAAGTTAAGACAGCGCACAGGTTAGCAAGGTGCTAAATAGAAGCTTCAGAGAAATGTTTGAAAATAGATTTAATATGGTGCGCTTACTGATTCCTCTGTCTTCATGACTGTCTTCGTCTCTCTCATCTCTTTCATTGTCGAGGTTGGACATTCTCACAGACATTTCTGGAGGAAAAGTAGAGAAAAATGACATAAAATAGGACACACAAGCTTTCAACAGGTTAGGAGTGAAATGTTAAAGGAAAGGACAGAACTGCATTGTTTTCGTGTCAAAGTGGCTCTTCTTATGGATTACAAAGAAGAGTTAAAGAATACTTAACTTTACAAATATGTTCAAAACCAAAACATTTGCCAACAGTTTAATGATTTACAGTCATTATTGTTATTCTACAAGAACCCACTGAAGTATAAACGACGACCTGTCCACAAGACAGTAATAACAAAAAAAAATTACTATGTATTTCCCATCTCATCGTTTATTACAAAAACTCATACTTATTCAAGTAAATCGAGACGAAAAAGAAAAAGGATGAAAACAATGATTGCTTACATGTTGCTTTGAATATAAAATGAGTGATTGAGCTACTGATGAAATGTGCTGGGCTGACTGATGATTGGGAAGCATAAGCACCTGTTTAAAAGTAGAACATTTAGCATATCTGCTGGCATGGAGAATTTAAAAAAGGATATAAAAAGCAGAGTGCAGCAGCAGCAACTAAAGAACAGCTGTTGCTCTTAAATCCTTTTTTAAGCGTCAAATATTACGTTTTCCCCAACTGATGTACAAGTGTTTACTATATTTTGTAATTTGAGGATATATTTTTTAACACACATTTCCTTTGGTAAACTGACACAAAAAGTTAACATGAGCATTGTTATTCACAAGTAAAACTCTGAAAAATGTGGTGTACATTCATCTCCAGCCCCACTTATTTCAACCTCATTTTCATGTTATTATATTATTTCCTTATAGCCTCTGTACTAAAGCTGTGGATATTGTTTTTGTTTAATTAGAAAATGTCAAAATATGCCGCTTCATCTGGAGTTGCCTCTACTTCAATAAAGATACACCGTTTCTTTAAGACATGAATCTGTCCCCACACTCACCCTGTGCAGCAAGTGGTGACATGTGCTGGTGTGAGCGTCTGTGGATCTGATGTCTGTAGGCGTACACGGCCAGCACCAGCACCATGATGCATCCCATGATGCCCCCAGCGACCGGACCTACAGGGGCGCTCTTGATCATGTTCAAAGATGCCACTTCCTCATCTGCAAAAGAAGCGAAAAGAATGATGAAGAATATTTTTACTCATTTTCAAGGAGCATTTCTACTGTTATTGAACATCTGCTTTTCTGCACTGCACTGAGATATTGCATTGTGAATATTCTGTCATCTCTTTTAATGTTCAACATATTATGTATGTACATGGAAAAAAGTCACCATACTCATTTGTACATTCCTTGGATTATAATTTCTTTATTGCTTATAACTGTAGAGTATTGTTATGTTGTAAAATATATTATCAGTGTTATTGTTAGTTATTTTGAAATTTTTGTGTGAACCTCTTGATCCTGCAGTCACACCTGAACATCACCTCTGGAAGACAGTGAAGGATATTTCTATTTTTTAAAAGGATCAGTTAAAAACCTTCCAAAAGCCTGAAGAAGAGACAAAATCAAACTATTTATGCTGAGATTCAAACCCCTGCTGTGATGCTGGTACATTTTTATACATTATTTCTGCTCTATCATACGTGTGAAAGATTATTCAACGCAAGGCTGGCAGCCAAAGCTGTTGAGAAAACATGTACACACATTTTTCAGGGAAAAAAAAAAAAAGAATAACAGTCCATAAATTACATGATTAGAAAGCTGCTATTTCAAAGCAAATGTGTTCTTGTTGTATTTTTGTAGGTTGTGCATTTTCTTCTACTTTGTGTTGATTTCCAGGGTTTCTTTAACTCACCCATAAGACCCAGACTATCTGCATATGGACTCTTTGCTCCAACGATGCCTCCAAAACACTCCTTCTGCAGGGCGCAGTACGGCTTGTCCAGGTGGGTCTTACCGTCGCTGTCCACCATGCACCACTCACAGTCCAGCACACCGAAACAGTCACTGAAACAGAGCGGCATTCAGAGATTAGAACAAGAATATAAACGTGAATGTACTGTGCATATAATAAAAGGAATTATTATCTTCATTCTCGGGATTTTCTTCTATGCCAAGTGTAGGATTCTATAACCAGGCAGTAATGCCAGTTTCACTATAGGACTTCATGTAACAAGAGATGTTTGGAAGAGTCATTATGATCTCATAAACCTGAGAACACAGCATCAACTACCAAGCACGGACCTGAACGTAGGTCAGATATTCAAACAAAATTATTGTTAATGTTTTATTGTGACATAAAGTGAGCCTCTGCCTATTTGTGGTTCAGTATCCATGGATTCACTTATTTTGCATTTTTCTGCAAATGTAACTGCAAGTTATTCAAAGAAGATTGAATTTTTCAGTTTTTTTTCATATACAGAATATCTGAATAAATATTCAAAAGAAATTTTAGATTGGTAAGCTGAAACTGACTGATGTTTTCAAAGCAGCCAATGCCATACCACCAGTTATTTTTCTTGGTGCTGATTGACTGTAACTTAAGAGTGGAAAGAAGTTAGCTTAGTGGTTATTCTAAAACAGTTTTCATTGTGTATATCAAAGCATATTAAGGTATAGTTGGTGTTTGAAGTATTAAATTTTCCATTTCAGAGGGGATCACGGTGTCTTGCAAATACTAGGGGTCCACCGTATAATAAATAATTTTATTAGGGTAGCATTTTTATACTGACCCTGTACAGAGGTACAGAGATCACAAAATCACTGAAAAAAACTGCCAACAAAGGTGTTGCATCGTATTTCTTGCTCTTTCGACTTGCAGGTTACAATACAAATATATGCATATTAAAGAAGTGTAGAGAGCGTGTGCACCTGCTAGAGTATCTCTGGCTGCAGCGGGTGTTGATGCACTGCGGCAGGGTGTCGTGCAGACCGGGGTCAATCACATTCAGGCTGACTGGTTCTTGATGCACCTCACAGCTGGGATTCCTGTATAACAAATCAACAGGATGAAGAAGACAAAAACACAAAAAGGGACACTTCTATTGGTTACAGTAAAATGGAAAAAACACAAAAAACAAAGGAGCCATTCAAATCTGGGAATGAAACTTGCAACAGGAGGGAATAAACGTGATCATATGAAGTCTGTTAAAGCACAGCGAGTCAAGCTGACAGTGAAAATGCTAATTACATAAAGCAGGGATCTGAGACATTGACGTGCTGTCACAGGCAGCTGATGGCTGATGAAAGGAGGTGGGTGAAACAACAAGAATGATAGACAGAGAATGATGGACAGATGCAGAGTGACAGACGCAGAGAGGAAAACTGGTAAGGCAGTGAGTTAAACAGAGAGGAGGACGAGAAAACCCCAAAAACATTCATCTATACAATGTATTTCATATATAATGCAAATATTATAAGCAAAGTCTTCTGTAGGGATGAAGGGATAACACTTTTAGATGGATAAAAGTTCAGAGTTAATTTAAGATTCAATTAAATGTAATTTAAGATTGAATGTAATTTAATCTTAAATTACATTCAGAATGATATTTTATGGCTCATTAAGCGTCTGACCAAAGTGCAAGTTAAAAATGAGTATTTCCTCAATACATTTGTGGGAGTATGAATGTATTTGAGCCTGTCTGTAAATATGAGTCATAGTAGAATGAAGTAGAATAAACTTTAATTGCAGTTTGCTTAACAATATATTAAGATTTGAAGTAGAATAATTCTCAATCACTAACAAAATAAACAGCGTTATCATTAAATCCAATCATTAAAGTATAACAATGTGAATTATGAGTGTATGTAAACATCTAATCAGAGACCTTAATACAGAAAGAAAACATAACATGGGACAGAGAGTAGTTAGTGTTTCTTTAAAGCCAGTTTTTGTGTTAATTTACAGTGAATTGTGAAAATTCCTGTTGCAATACTGAGACATGATTAGAGCTCCTCTAATGAGTCATCTCAATACTCTGTGGATTTCTCCCCTCGTCTTCCCGAATGGTTATTGCGCTCTCTTCTGGACTCCCACTGCTTTACCTTCACACCCAATCCTGAGTCCAAATTACTCTGCAGGTTCCAAGCCGCTTGTTCAGCATTCGGTTTCATCACCAAACTCTCATCTGTTTCTCACTTTCTCTGTTGTCATTCATAAAGCAAACTTGTGTTTGGACCTGTAGCAGTAAGACTTGATTCATTTGTGTGACTGACCTGTTCTCAGCATTGGTGAGATTGCCTGTGCACTCATTGACATCCAGAGGGCACTCACATGGACACTCACACTCATTCTGCTCCATCCTGCATAAGGAAGCAGACCAATCAGCTTCAGAGTAAATAAAGGATATTATCATTTTCCTTTAGAGTTTTAATAAACATGTGCTTAAACATACATCTTTCGGCAGGACATTTCTTCTGCCTGCGAACTATATTTTAGTTGCTACATAACCTTGAAAAACTTAAATAAACCACTATTTTATTCTTTTTTCTAAAGAAAAATAATTTTCTACCAGCAACCACCTGTGGCAGTTGAGGCAGAGGCGGTCCACCGTGCTGCAGGCGCAGAAAGCCAGCGAGTCACACGTCTCATTGACAATGCCGGCAAATGCATTGGTGCCAGGGATTCTAGTCAGGCGATACTTGGAGCAATGGCTGCCATGGACGAGGTTGGTGAGGTCTCCCTGAGTGAGGAAGAGAGAAAGTATATGTCATCCAACCAGTTCACCATTTATGTCTCAATATGCTTTTTAATTCGGTCAGTTAACTCTAATCAGATTTGACTTATTTTTAAAGAAATATGGTTTAGAATTGGGAGTAGTAAAATTTGCAGTACAGAATACCACCACAAGATGGCAGTGCATTACTGCATGATGGTTTAGAACTGTTTTTCGGAGACGTCCTCTGATCCATTGGTTTCTGGCTTACCACTATGCTGGTGTTGAACTTGTAGAAGCGCTGCACTGTTCGGTCACTGAAGCTGTTGCAAAGATTTTTCTTGACAAAGTTTGGATGATTCAGGATGTCATTGGCCACGAGTGGCTCCTAAAATAAAACACAAAAACAACAAACAAGGAGAATATTAATTTATAATTGCATATTTGTTGCTCTTTGCAAAATAAAAATCTTTATATACTTTAATTGCAGTTTGTTCATTTATTTTGTTTCCCTGATTTAATACCCAAACGTGAAAGGCAGTTTTTACAGAGATTACAATAAGAAAGTGGCTCTAACTAGATAACTGAAACAGTCATTTTGCTCTATAATAAATTAAATATAAGGACATTGCAACGATGGAAGATAATTTGGTATGAGTTGCTTTGCCTAGATAGGTAACTTCATCTTAATTTAAACAGTAAATATATTTTATAGACCCTAATTCTGAAAGTGCTGAAAATGTGAAGTAAATGTTGCATAATCTGCATTTTAAAGCAAATTAGTCATCTTAAGAGTCCTCTGTATAGAAATAGGAATTCAATACTAGATGTGGATGATATGTAATCAAAGTTTGGAACAGCAGCTGGACAACTTATGCACAGGACACATTTTGTTTATGTGGGTAATGACACTTTTACTCGGATTATTCTGAATGGATGTGTTGCGGCTCATTGGTCAAAAACTGAAAACATTTGGAATGTATGCAGGAAAATTAGGTAAGGTAGGACAGACAGCTGTACCAGACCACTGAAGAGACCTCAGATGTTTGTGACCATCAAGTTATTGAAAGTAGAACATTCTATCTTTAAAGTGGTTTAACTGTTTTTGTGTACTCTGTAAGTACAAAGGCCTGCCTAATTGAAACTAACTTAATAAACATCTCAACCTTTTACCTTGTGAGTGATGTGCTGTTGTTCTGCTGGGGCGTGACCCTTTGGGTCAATGAGGGTTGGGTGAGCAACCAGGTATCCTCTGTCTTCCATTATAAAACACCTGAATTACAGAACAAGTATAAGTAACAACTTCAAATGGAATACAAGATACAATTTCCTCTCTTTCCGTCCAACAACAGCCTTCTTTTAACTGAATGTTTTGGCTCTATTCTACTTCTGACTGCTTCGCAAATATTTTGCCATATGCAGCTTCTTCCTGTTGCAACTCCCTTAAAAACTAAAGCTGTTTTACATGGCTTATAAAATCAAAAAAGAACAGGGGGATTGGCTGGAGAGTTGGGGAGTACAGAGAAATGGTTGTGGATGAGAGATCAAAAGGAAGAAGATGAATAAAGTTATGGGGTACTGATGCAGGACTCCCTCAGGACTGCTGATAATCAGCTTATTTCTTCTTCCTGCTTTCTGTTCTCTTCTCTGTCTCTCAGCAACTTTTGTTCTTCCCCAGTGAAACATGAATGTTGTAAGCTTGCAAAGACTTCCAGGGGAAGCAAAGGGGGGGAATTATCTGCAAGGACGGGTGAAAAATCTACCCTCTTCCTACCTGATCTTATGGCCTTTATCCTGGTTGCAGATGGGCAGCAGATCCAGCAGGACCTTATAGAAGTAGCGAAGAGTAAAGTCTATACCCATCACTGCAACTGCATACCCAGGGGCCATCTGAGAGCTGCAGGCAGAGCAGAAAAACAGAGAAAAATGAGTCATGTTGAAAGAAAAAAAACAAAACAAAAAAAACCTAAAGCTGGGAAAATTTAAATTCTCTAAACTATCCCACAAGTAGTCCAACTTTTATACAGATCTCTGTAAAACAAGGCTAAATTAAACACCAAAAAAACTTGTAATTTTGAAATCTGTCTCAGACCAACAGTGTTTGTTACACTCACTGACCAATTCAACAACAAAACATAACCCTGCCTTATCACACACCCTTAAACTGTGTGTTTATTTCTATCCAGAATACCTGAAGGGCCTGTGATAAACAGTTTGGATTGTGGCGCTGTAAGAAACCCGGTGGGCATGATGCGCTGTTGTATTTTAGGCTCACTGACGTAGAAATAAACATTCTAATCTCTGCCCAGGACTCTTTCTAGACATTTTCAATCTCTTCTGCACCAGCGACCCGACATATTTCCATTTCTCTCCTTTTTCCTCCTACTATTGTGTAGTAATACACTGTTTTGCCTGATTGTACTTTACAAGAGAAGAATTATTGATAATTTAACAGAATTTTACTCATTGAAAAGCAATGAAAGAATCAGTCTCAGTATCTTCTCATTTGTGCCAAATTATTTTCTATTTTCAGAGAGGGTCATTTCTCAATGAAATGACCCTCAGGATAAAATTCTTGCTGATTATGGTATCTTCCTTCACAACAGTGGCTCTATTGAGCAGAAACGAAAAAGGCTTAAACATAATGGTCAATAATTAAACACTTAATAGGGGTGACTCCCATAAAGCTAGAGGAAAGAGACCAGACATTCCATTCACTTATATTAATCTATAATCATTTCATTTCACCTGGAGGCATGAATGGTGTGGCTGATAGTGACGACGTATCCTGCGCCGCCAACATCCAGGTAGGGACCGGTGAAGGTGATGAGGCCTGGGTTAGCCACAGCATGCTGGTACCTGTACGACACACACAGAGGGTTACCCATGAAAAATCAAAGGAAACAACAGCTACTTCCGTAATAACGTTCACAAAGTGAGATCCATATATAGATTTACTACATGCAGAGAGGTTTTGACTATTTATTTTGAATAATGTTGATAATGGTTTAGAAGTACTGAGAACAAAAAATTGTGTTTCTTAGAAAATTTGATCACATGAGTAAATAATTATGTCACATTTAGGTTGACTGTGTTTTAGTTGAAACATTGGATTTGCTCATTTTTGTGAGGCTAGCTAGCAGTACTAGTAATTCAATGACAATAGTTTTTCCCTTATTATCTGTATTTTATCATGGGTACAGAACATTGTGTGCTGTGCATTTGACATTCTAGGATAAAATTGCTATAAATGCAAATGAACAGATAATTACCGTGACTTTCATATAATTTTAAGTGGCTGCTGTTTTGAATTAAAATTCTCTGGTCAGAATTTCGGCTACGAGGTTCTCTACATGTTATTTCCAAACAAACATAACTTTAAAGAAAGGTGTGCTTTTTTTGGAAAACGTTTTGACTTTTTATGCATTTTAATAGTGTAATGAAATGTTTTTGAGCACTTTGTACATGTTCTTGTTTTGTTACGGTTAATTCCTGTAAAGTTGCGAACTTTAAAATTGATATTACATCCATATAAAAACCCACATTAGTAATGTGCTGACGTGAGTTATTCAGAAAACATAAATTTGATAGTAACTGATTTAATATTAGAAAAAAAAGCAGTTCAAACTTCATAAGAGTAACTTTACCAGACTGAAGCTATGGATGTCACACATTTGTTTCTCTTTAACAGGAGCAAACTCCAGAATTATTCTGGATCGCCATTCGCAGCCCAAAAACAAAACTCCAAACATCTTTAATGTCATCTTGACCTCCTTTTCAAACACACCAAAGTAAACCTCACCATTGTCTGCGGGTCGGGTCGAACGCTTTGTCCATCAGCGATCCTGGGTAAATCCGGAGCACCCCGCTGGGCGTTGCTATGTAACGCCGCACAATGTAGCAGTTGAGGCTACTCATTTCCATTAGTGTCATCCACTCATCCGTAACATGACTGGTTGCCATAACCTCGTTCCTGACAGAGGACTGTGGAGGGGAAAAGAAGGAGGGATGAAAGATGAGAGAGGATGGAGAGAAACAGCAGGAGTTGAAGAAACTTGGATTCATTTTGTTTGTTTTTGTCTTGAATGCAAGTTGTGAAAACTTTTTGCAATGTTTGGCTTGAGAACAAAATGACTAAAAAAGAAAATCCATTCATGAGGTGGCAATAGGGGAAATAAATCTGACTGATTAATCGCTAAGCCTAGAAAAATCCCATCTCAGAACCATTCTGAGACAAACCTCTGAGTTTGAAAGGGGTGATGAGGTCACTGGAGGGGGTCTTTAAGACTGGCCTGGGAATCTGCACTGAGACTCAGCTTTGGTCTTCCAACTCCCCCCAGGAAAGGAATGCACACAGAATGCCAAAACCTTTGTGGGAGTTTATCCCCGTCCTCTTAAAGTTGCAGGACATGTTTACGACTTCTGACATTTTACCTGCAGAATTATTTAAAAACAAAGTTGGCCAAAAACACCTATTAAAGCACAATCCTCCACAAAACATGAAAACGTTAAGCAGAACTTTAGGATACAAGTGTCATAACAGGAGGAAGAGATATAAAAAGGCCTCCAGTCCAACCTCAGGCTGGAGGTGAACCATGTGTTCGTTAGGTAAACAAATGACCTCTTTATGTGTGAATGTTGTGTGTTTCAAAGGCTTGTGTACCTTGAGGCCTGGGTTGGCAATAAGCCTGGTGTTATCACTGAGGTAGGCCGTGTAGTGCTCCACCATGCGCTTCGTCTCTGGCTGACTGAGATGTTCATATGGAGAGGAGAAGCTACCAGCAGACAGCATCACTGTGGGAGATTCTGGGAAATAGGCAGAAGAACAGTAGCATTAGAGCTAAGTAAGTTTATAATAAAGGTCTGTTTAATTTATAGTTGTCCGTACCAACAGTGGCGAGCTGCTTGAAGTGCAGGCAGGAGCTGGGTTGGCCCAGCAGGTCTAAGCGATGGTACAGCAGCTTCGAGCTGGGCGCCGTGTTCAGGTTCTTCAGCTGCTTCACTGGGATCTCCGGCTGGATGTACACGATGCACAGAATAAATGATGTGTCCTGGACCTGAAGGAAAAGAGAGGAGAGCTTATTGGATGCTTTTATGACTCCTTTGTTACCATAAATGAGTCTAGTTGGACATACCCAATGACAGTCAAAAGACATTCTCTTTTGAATGTCTTGATAAAAACAAATTGAAAACAAGTTGTGTAACATGATTTTTGATTCTATAACACCCTTTTAAAGAAATGGACCAAAAAATGGAAGTCTACGACATAGAGAAAAAGTTACACTTTGGTATGAACAATTTCTTTATTTGAAAAATCTTCCTGCATCTGACGTACAAGATGAATTATTTTGCAATTCAAGATATCCAGAGTTCTATTTGACAACTCAATACTTTTCCAGGCTTAGATTTCTCAATTTACCCATCTGCTTTTATGACACCTAAATATTTAAACAAACTACATTTATCTTGTTGAGTTTTATTATCCGTTTTTTGTATAAATCATAAAAATAGCACAAAGTTGAAGTTGGGTAATGAGATGAAAGGCTAATTTACATTTGTTTTTTTTTATATAACATTTAAACTAATTTGAATCAGCACTTCTCAGTAGATAAAGTACCAGTAATTATTCTGCACTAGATACAGATTATTTAAAGTACTGTTAGTAATATTTCACATCTATCAAAGATATTAAACAACAGATGTGAACTTTGTTTTACATCTGAACCATTTAAGAAAACCACACGTTTCATTTCAAACCCTAATTTAAGATGGGCTCTGAATTAGTTATTTAATGGATTCTCAGTAAGTAAACAACTGAGGTTTGGTAAAAATGAAGATCATGATGTTGCAAATATAAAATAAAAGATTTCATTTAAACATAATCAACATATAAATACATTTATGTAGTTGATCATTTAAAAAAGGTGAAAGTCTAAAAACACAACTGTATTTCTCAAGACCAGTTTTAAATTTTGATCTTTTTGTGATCACGCATCAATATGTACCCAACTTGGGAATGTTTCATGCATTTTCTATAATCTATATTTCCTACCATGAGAAAGCAACATTTTCTAAAGGTAAAAAAATTAACCATGTGACTTCCATAAAGATCAATTAGAAGGTCACTGCAATTTATTTTTGGTTGCTCACAAGTCACAAGTCAAATTTGAGGAGTTTAGAACCACAATCAGTGAAACAAAGGTGGACTGTAAAATCTCTAGAAAACAATATACAGTTAAATCCTAAAGTGTGAACATTTGCATATAAACATACAAATATTTAAACAACTGATAAGTAATAGCTAAGTGAAATGGAGGTAAAAATAAGCAAAAATTGCAAACTGTTTGAGAGCTGAAAAAAACATAAAAGCCAATTTTGAAAATTAAGATAATTTTGGAGACTCTCTACTTTGTATCTTAACATACCCAGGGGAGCAACTACTTATACTTCCAAATAAATATGAAGCTTCAAAATCCTTGTGTTCAGCATTCCTGTTTTAAAGACAAGCTCAACTTTACAGTGCCAGAGATTTATGGCTGCAGGACAGCATAAATGTGTCCCTTTCAAAAACAGATCTTAAATTAACCCTTCATTGTTCGTCTATCGCTGCATATGTTACTTAAAATCAGGCAGTAACATAAGTGTCATAAAAATCCAAACTGTTCTCAAAACCATCTCTTCAAATAAATCTGCATCTCAATCCACCTGGATATTATTAGCAGAGTAAAACAGGGCGACCTGTGTGGGAAACAAAACTCTCTTCTCAAATGATGTTTTTGTAGGCAGGTTCAGTGATGTTCTGGCTCTGGAAAGCCCATTAAAACCCCTGCAGCCCTGCCAAACTCATGTCAAATGTGACTTGTTTGAATGCTTGTTCTTGTTTGGAAATAATAACCCAAATATCAGAAAGCACTTTAAAAAAAGCAAAAGTGACATGCTGAAATTAAAGATGATTCTTCTGCTTCTGCCAAAACATCTAAATGTTAGGAAGAAGAAAGTCCCAGAGTGGTGTCATGGTGATGTGGCCGTCCTGTTGCAATTTGTTCCAAACATTCAACCCAGATTCAGGCAGGTTCTGGGTGTTGGGGCTTAATGGGTTTTGTAACACTAAAAGTAATTTAAGACTGTGAAGGATGAGCGCATAAATCTTGGCAAGACTTTAGAGAGCAGTGCAGTGACAATAATGTACTTCAGATGTGGAGGCAAACATGGATAAATCGGATGTGTTTTCAGTGGTTGTTGGACCACACACCGACTGAAAACCTACCAGTTTCCAGGCATAGCTGACATTATATGCATCTTTGCTGTTGTCCCTCAGCCGGTTTGTGTGCCAGGAAAGGGAAGAGTTGACAGGCACAGCAATGATCTGACTGCCTAAAGGGAGGCTGCACAAACAGAACAGTCAATCAAAAGATTAGTGTAAAAATTTGACCCAAAATCTTCCTACTTGTATAGCCATGCCTTGAGCAATTTGAGCTACTGCTCTCTTTGTCACTTTTCAAATAGTTGTTGATATTCTCTCACCTGAGGATGTTGAGTCGGACAACAGGGAATCCTGGGATGTTCTCGTAGTGGATAATATCAGTATGCAGGGGCGGCTCTGCCATTAGGTATGGTCTGGTCAAAGATGGATGCATCAGGGTGTAACCTTTCAAGATCAAACGCAAGATTAAAACAGTGGAACTGTATTTGTTCTATGTTTTTACTTAAATAGTCAATGAGTACAAACAGAAATCCATTAGGAGATCATATGGTGCCCAGATTTTCTGCTTTGTTAGTTCTGAAAACTAACCGGCAGTAATGAGAAACAAAAAATTTCAAACTTCTTCATATCAGTGAATGTACCACACTAAAAGCTTCCTAACTACACTGAAAGCAATAAGTGCTATCTAATAAAAACCTCACTAATGTTTCACATGTCTGCCAAGCAGACATGTTTGAAAGAGTTGGACATAAAGATTGACTCAACATTCTGGATGATTCAGACGTGATTTTGCTGCATGTGCCTCTATGTACCTTTGTTGTCGATGAGAAATGTATAAGAAGCCAGCGAGTCTTGGTAGTAGGTGACATCCTCGAGGATGTAAGCCAGGTTCACATCCACTCCGACCACACCGAGGAGCAGGTTACCGAAGTAACAGGGCCGGCTCACAGTCATGATGAAGCCTGGGGGAGATGCAAACAGGCACATGAGGCAGCTTGTCAGTCTTCAAAAGACATTTCTATTCTAGCTGCTCTTTTCCATGTTGAAACACATCACAATTTACCAGTCATCAAGCAATATTGTTATAGTTTGAGAAAAAGAAATGGTTTTATAGTCATACCAAACACCTGAAGTTTTACACACGAGCCACATTCATTTACATGAACACAGTTAAATTAGATTTACGTGCCTTGCCCAAGGGAACAACACATGGATAGGAAGGAAGCTGAAATCCAAACCTCAGCTTCCTGCCTGCAAGATGGATACCATTTTCTATTGTCCCAAACAGCCCAAAAGGCTCAGATATGGTAAAAATTATGTCACATTTTGAGACATTTTTAACAGCAAATAAAGGTTTCTGTTATGCTAATTTGTAGTTTTAAAACAGGTTTTTAAAAGCAAAGACATGTCATTCTCCACACATTTACAGCTAGAACAGATGAGTAATGTATCTTAAAATAAATTCAGATTTTACTGAAGTAGAATATTTTCACACTGAAACCCAAACTTTCATTTGAGTACAACTTGGTGAAGCATTTGTAATCTATTCTTTTCTTTTGTAATTTAGTCAGGGGAGGGGTCCAGGAGATTTTAATGACTAAACCATGACTTCCTGTTTCTCTGACTTAATAATATAAAGCATCACAGAGGCCCCTTTTCCATAACCGTTCTTCATTTTCCATAACCGCTCTTCACTGAAGTGAAGCAGATGCATACTAATTTTTACATATTGCAAAACAACTGCAAAACATGAAGAAAGGCACTACTTAAAACATTTTTATGCAACAGAATTTGGGACAAGACTGGTGAGTTTTTCTTAAATCATGAGCAGCATGTCCAGAGGTAAAAACATCCCTGTAGCTCACTGTTGGAGAACTGCAGGCATATTTTTCCATGTGTGAGATTATGTTACTGGTATAAAAGGTGGTTTTAAAGTTAGTTTTTTTACACACTTAACAGCTGTGCTTTAATGTGTGTATGTGGGGGAAAGCAGGGGCACCATAAATCAAATGCAGCATGATTTGGCAGCAAAACAGAAAAAGCACAAAATTCTCAAGGCTGCATTTACAATGTATTCTGCCAACAATCTGGTCAAATATGGCCGACTGTAAAGTTTTACCGTGGAGGTAACACTGAATTTCTTTCTGATCAGTCTTTGCTTTATTCAGGTAACAATATACTCATAGAACATTATGTTGTTCAATTTAGTCAACACAAAAAACTGAAAATGTATAACTTTTTTGGCATAATAATCACATTTTTGCTCTATTTATGCACTGATAATGGAAGACATGCTTTAGTGCTGGAATGAAGATGTTTATAATTTTCTGTTGGATGTAAAAATCCTGCCTCTTTAAGGTACCAGCTGCACTTTTAAAGTCAGATTTTGTTCATTTAATTTTTAATTTAAGATTGAATTTGTTGCAATCTAATTACTAATTGTTAATTTTTTAGCTGTAGATGCATCTTTGGCTACAAATGATCAAGGGTTCACTAAAGAAATGCTTTTTGTATTTTAGGTAATAAAATGTTCATTTTCTCATTTGAAAACGAATATATTTTTTTTAAATTTGCATACTTAAAGGCATTTCTTATATTCTATTAAAAGGTTTAAGTGGTTGAATGAAACATCAGGAGAATGTTCCAGTTTTGCTATGTTTATCTGATGATTGATTAACCATCATAATATTAGAACAACTGATTACTAAAAGAATCATTAGCTGCAGCTATACTTGATATGGACCAATTAAATCCGGACTGATTCATTTCTATATTTAAATGGTCAAGTATGAGATGGATGCTTGCTGGAGTTTTCCCTTTCTCCCAAGCCGGTCCCCACTACTCACCGTCTCCCATGGGGTCGGCGTAGGGCAAGCTGAAGCGCACCAAGTCAATCATGCGGTTGGGCAGGTTGATGTAGAAGCGTCCCACTGATGTTTCCAGGTTGCTCAGCTGGTTCAGCACCATCATGCTGCCCTTTACCACCGGCATCATTGGGGCTCCGGCCGATCCGGGCGAGGCGCGCTCCCGTTCAAACGCTCGGTCAACGCCATACTTGACGGAATTCTGCTCGGCCAGGTCTCTGAGGAAGGCCAGCTCTTTCAAGCCTGTGACTCCCTCTGAGGGAGGAAATGGGTAGAGGAAGAGAAACTGAGCAACAACATGACAAGAAAAGTTAATTCTGAACCAATATCATAAACGGACCTTGGGTTTATGGCTTGACGTGCCTGTTGACTTGGTAACCAACGAAAATTGGCTTTCACACATGACTGAAGTCTTGCAAAAATATGAATACCTGGCAATTTCAACATTTCTACCACAAATTTTTAGGTATTTTATTGGGATTTTAGTCTAGATGAAGGACAAATATTAAAGTAGAAGAAAATTTACAGGTGGTTTATCTACACAAATTTAAAATGGGATCCACAGAAGAGCATAAATGTAAGGCACACTTTGCAGATTTCTATATGCAAACCCTGTTTTATTTAAACAAAACAATAAAAAAAAATCACTTAAAAACCCATAAAACACTTTGACTTCTCACATTTTCTTAGTGGAAAGTCAAAAGCAGTGTTCACAAATTTTGGAACTTTTTTCTGCATCTGCATCAGGAATTTCTTTTAATATATTCAGGCCCCGACTTGACAAGCTTGACTTGAGCCAACCCAAGCTCCCTCCAAGCCCAGCTGTCATCTGTCAACTCCAACGCCGTGACATAAATAAATCTGCCAATACTTAAACATAAACATGCAGAACAGAGACAGCAAAGCACACTTTTGACTTTATCTTGATAGGCATCACAAGGTCATTCAGCCAATGGATGGATGGATGGATGGATGACAAGCCCCCACAGCTGTCACCTGGAACATTTGGCATCCCACAGGCCTTTGGGAAGGACAGAGTCAAGAGTCTGCTAGCGTCCAATCACTGAACGGATTACAGTGGGATTTCTTTTTTAATGCCAGGGCTCTGCTCGTTTGATCACCCTGCTGGACCGCAGAGTGGAGGCGATGGGTGGCAGCGTCAAACGGACTCCAGGAAGGAAATCTGCTGACAGCTCAGACTGAGCAGAAATACTTGCAGTTTTCATTTGCAGGGATGCTTATTCTCCAATATTCCCCAAAATATTTGATCTGAAGGGAGAACATTTTATTTATTTATTTTTTTACATCTGATTAAGAATTGAGCTACAAAACAATGGACTGTAGAAGCCAATGCTTTTTGCAACTGGTCACACACATGCAACTGGGACTACAATACACAGTGAAACACACAACTGTGCATTATAGTCCCAGTGAGACTGCTGATCTCCTTCAACAATCAGCACTTCACATTTGGCAGGAGATGCAGCAAAATAAATAAAAAAAATAAAAAAATGAAGACACCCTTCTCCCCAGCCCATCCACAAGCCGAGCCTTTCAGAGTCGTGCAACAGCATCAGCAACGAAACAAATGTTTTTCCGAATATGCAATGCTAATACACCAGGAGAACGAGAGATTTCTGCATCCTTTTCATCATCTCTCTTTAAAGAGCCAAGGTCCTCTGTCAGTCTCACACGTCCAGGCAGTGGCACGGCCCTTTGAAGTCTTGCTCTCCCCCTTTCTCTTAGATGTCCCTCATTTCCATTCTCCAATGCAAAAAGTGATTTGTATTAATGGTGGCCTAATGCATGCACAGAAGGGGGGGTTAGTGCGCCCTGCAGAGGGAGGTGGGAATTAGAGGAGGCAGATGGAAAGACAAAGACACTGAAAACGGAGAGAAAGAAGAATACAGACCTCAGACTCAACACAGATAAACAAGAAACCGTCAAATGTTTCAGAGCATCTTTGTAACCTCCAGGCTTATTTTAAGAACAGATAAAAGAAGATGGGGTATCAAAAAATAAATAAAACTTCACATTTTTCAACAGCAACATAGTGAACTTATTAAAGGTATGAAATTTTTTTCCCCCATAACAGATTAGATTTCACAACTAAAACTCAATCCCCCTCAAAATGAGCCAAAAAACTGATGTAAGAGCACTTCAGATTGTTGAAATGCATCAAACAGCTTTGAGGCCAAACTAGATTTTTAAGTGGTGAGGCAGATGGAGTCACACAAGGAATCTAACTATTGCAAGCCTTTATGATTGGTACCAAGCAACCAAATCTGTTTTCTAATTCAAAAAAAGTTGGGAAAGATGAGATAATATAGGTGTTTTCTTCTCCTTGAATGTGCAATAAAAGGTAAATGACATAAAAATAATGTAGGTAATCTAATGATGTGTGAAAATACCTGGTAGAAAAACAATTGTGAGAATTGTTATTCCATCAATAGCTGACAGAAAAGAAAAAAAAAAAGAGAATCAGTAAATAACCAAATGATTTGTGAAAACTTCAGGTGGAAAAAAATTGTTAATAATTTTACCCATAGTTGGTTAAATTTTAACACTGTCAATGTGAAATAAAAAAAGGTTAAAAGAAAATAATGAGAATCTATAACATATAAAACAACAAATCAAACACACACATGATGATCCATCCATTTGTATTATTTCGCTTTCTCTTTTCATCAACTTATTCTACTATAATTTTTTTAAACACTTTGGTGCAGTTTTAAACCTGCTTTTAAAAGTGCTATTTAAATAAATTTGGCATTGACACCCACCGTTCATAAGAGCGTAAGTGAGGATCATGACGGAGTTGTTGAGGTGTCGGTTCTCCTCTCTGACCACGCTGAGTGTCGCTCTCTTCTCCAGCTCGGACGACTCTCGAGACGTAACGCCAGATGAAAGGTAGATTATGACCATATCTGTAGCTAATGCACGACATGAAACATTTAATGATTGTCAGGGAATCTCGTGTCACACATGCAAAAGAGCAGAAGTTGGAAAGTTTTGTCTGGTCTTACTGGAGCTCTGCTTGCTGAGGCTGCTGGTGTTGCGGAGCAGCTGGAAAGCCTTCTGGAAGCCAGCTGCATGCTGCGTGGCTCCATTCGAGGCCTTGATGTTAGAGATGAAGGTGCTCATCTTCCTCTTAGTCTCGCTAGTGGCCGGAGACAGCAGGCTCTTGTAGCATTGGTCCAGAGAGCAGGAGCGGACCACCTCTGCCACAGACAGGATGGAGATCTGCAGAAGGAAAAGGCAATTTCACCTAAATGAATCATGTCACACATAGTGTTGCAATGTGTGCAATGTCACACATGGTGTTGCAATGTGTGCAATGTCACACATTGCTTTGATCTTCCAAAGCAATGTCTAAATAATTGTTTCCTAATCCTTTTACAAACCTTATCGTGTTCGTCGATCGAATTAAGGATAACAAGAGCAGAATCACGGGCGATCTGAAGCTGTGAATCTGTTATAGATGCTCCATGGTCGACCATCACCACAATGTGCTTTGATTGTGGACGTACTGCAGAGACATACACAGGCCTGGAACAAGAACACAAATACTCAAAGTGAGGCACTAGACAGTCTGCTCCAGTCCAGTCCACCAGGTACCTAACATTCTACATCACCCCCAGATTTTTTCTGGTTTGAAAATTTTAATGGGCTCTGTCAATTTTCTGATCATTTGGGTGCAAACCAAGGTCGTACTACTGACTGATGTTTTCAAAAGTTTGAGATTTAGGTTTAAGTACCACCAAAAAGAAGCTGGCAAGTCAAAGAATTAAGTATCCACACATAATGAAAAACAAATAAAGGTAAACACACAAAATGCGGAAATAGGGGAAATTATACAAGACGCTTGACTAGTTTGAGTATGTGTATCCAGAAAATACATTTTTATTAAATATTTGAATTAAATTCATTATGCACTTTGTGTGTGATGAATCAATTTTTAATGAATTTCACTTTTTGTTTTGATGGAACTTGAACAACCTCCATGGAAGCTCTAGGAAAGTCAACCTGTTATCACTTTGAAAGTAATGAAAGAGGAAACTTTTAATTTGGGAAATCAGATTAGTGCAACCGATGAGTTCAATCATTTATCCTGAACCAATAAAACTTTGGGTTGGGACTAAATAGTTCACAATCCATAGTTTGACATGTCGATGGCTGTATGTTGTCAGTAGAATGGGACGTGGATGGGGATTCAAAGCCACTGTGTGTGGTCTGCTGGACAAGAAGACACATACAGAGGTACAGGGCGGGGGGTTCTGCTCACAAAGCCTTATTCACAACCGAAGCTGGCCAAGCAGCATCCTTTCTCCCCATGGCCAAACGCCAAGTTGCTAATTCAAACTGCGATGAGAAAAATGAAGATGCAAAGTACATAAGGAATAAAGTGAAAGATATATTTAAGTCAAGGTTATTAAAAAGAAAAAGAAAAAAAAAACAGAGTTGGGGTGTGAAATTCCATCAATCTGTAGTGGCATGGAGGCACATTCCTGCTAAAGGCATGTATGGTCATGAAGTACAAGGGCGGCATGCCATGAGCATGCCCTCTGGGCCACCCTACAGCAACAAGCAGAGGAGGGGGCAGTGGGCTGAATGGTACATGGAGGTGATGAAGACAAAGGCAATAACGTGGCAGATAGATCCAACTGTCACGTCTGTATAGAGCGGAAAAAGATTTATTTATCTGCTGAAAAGAATGGTGCCTAAATACATTTTAAAAACGTAACCATTTTAAGAGAGAGAAGGCGGGGATGGTTACCGGCTACGATGTTCATAGTTTCCTTTGCAGTGGAACTTGTGGGCGGGGAAGACGGTAAAGATACCCTCCTCTGAGCTGAAGTACTGCCACTTTATCCCTGGGTTGGACTTCAGGTTGTCCGCCAACACTGCACATAAGATGGAAGACAAAAAAAAAATGGTAATTATACATATTCAGCAGGATGATGACATGTGGAGGTGCCCTGGAAGAAATAAACACATGAAAAGATTTTCAAAGTGAAACCAACAGCATCCCAAACACACCTTTGAGAGAAGTGTTCAGTACTGCTCAGGTTAAGTTAAATGTGCTTAATATGTGGATCACAAAACAAAATGACGATCTAAAAGAAGCTCATAAAATAGCAACTCTTTCCATAAAAGGTTCCACGCAAGACTTGAGGTAGTCAGTGGAAAAAGATCTGGTCAATCCGACTCATTTTGAAAGATTCAGATATTTAATCAAAAGAAAGTAAAGTTTGAAAATACAAATAATTTTCCATTCTTGCATATTAACATTCCAGATTTACCAGACCTATGAAGAACAGCTTTATTTACTGTTTTCATAAAAAAGTTGGAAAATTGCTGCAAAAGCTTAAACCTAATGACATGTAAAAATGCAAACATTAGGTCAAATTACCAAATCCTATCCTAAGTAACCATTTCGAAAGATCCACAGACTGAAGTAGCAAATCATAGTCGGTATATGACAAGAAAACAAATGACTTCATTTTCAGAAACCACATGAGGTTATTACTTGTTATTTGGGTAGTCTATTATGGTGAGTTAAACTATTTGCCCAGATGTTTAATGTTTGAGTTTGTAGCAATAATAAACATTCAATAAACATCCTGGAGGTCATTTGTAGCTTTGTGGAAGTTGATTTCCATGATCTGGAAAAGGATTTCAAGATGTTTATTCGTCTGTTAATTACTTCTACAATGACTGCCAGAAACTCCAGAACTGTTCTCTGTCCACTCATTCAACAAACTCACAAATGTCTTAGCTTCATCATAAAGAAGAAGGGTGATGTTTTAGTAGGGCGTTAGAGAAAAAACACAAGTCTTTATTCAACTAAAAAAAAAAAATCATTGACTACACTTCAAGAAAGAAAAGCCACTTAAATAGGTTCACCTGAAGTGTTGAACATTTCCTCTTTGCTACCTCATCCGTCTCTTTGGTTCATATAAACAGGAACCACTTTGCAGCGCTGGCAGTAGAAGGCTTGTGAAGACAAATGACTATCTACACCAAGAAATGGGGACCACACGACAACTACTTGCTACTTACTACTTTAGCTTTCCCATCTGCTTTTATACACCGAGTCTAGCAAACTACAGTAATTCCCTGTTGGGCCACCTGATATTGCTGAAAAAAAAAACTGTCATCCTGTTGTGAATTTACACAACAATACAACCAAGAATGGAAGTAGAAAAGATACGACAGGTAGACAAAAATGGATGGAAAGCAAAGGGGTAGAATGGGAAATTGGGGGTCTGAAGTTGCAAAAATTACAACAAAGAAAAAGGATGTAGGGAAAAAAGTAGACGGCTCAAACTAGTTCTGTAATCAAAATGCACTCAGCCTCTCATCTCTCACCCACCTGCTGGTATAAAAACTAATTTCACCAATATCCACCATTGCCCTGTCCTTCCAAAAGAAGAAGGAAAATGAAAGATAAAAAGGAAATGGGGTTGGGGGAAACAACCCAGTCTAGATACAATTACTCCATTTCAATCAGCTCTCACCCCTCCCTTCTTTCCCTTCATTCATCATTCTCTCCTCCTCAATTATTCCTGGTGTCCTTAGCCACGCCTTCCCTTCTCGCTATAGAGGCCTTGTTTAGACTAGGCTGAGACAAATGGGAGAGATTGAAAAGAGTGGCAGTGAGGAGGTCAAGGAGGAGTTAATGTGAGGGACGAGAAGAGGAGCAGGGAGGCCGAGGGGTAACTTGAACTCATTATGACTGGCCTTGGAAGGAAAATAAAGCCCCACCAATGATGATGTGTTAAAATTGGCAGGAACTAAAGATTTGCAGAGAGCTGTTCTTAGTGAGAAAAAAAAAAGATTTGAGCCAGAGTAGCAACAGAATGACAGATGTATAGTTTTGTTGAAATTCTTGCCCACTCCTGACAGAATTGATGAGACTGAGTCAGATTTGCAGGTTGTCTCTGCTCTCTCATACCTCCTTCAGCAAAACCCTCTGCTATATAATGGTAGATGGAATCTGAATGCTTAGGATGGACTTTAATGCCAACTATTTATTATAACTATCAAATTGATCTAGTTAAAACAAACTCACCTTACTGAAGTTGTATCTAAAAATAGCTGAATACACAGACAATTCTGGAAGAACAATCTGTTAAGAAAGTTTCAACAATTTAATTTAACTGTTCCAGTATGTCAAAACAATAAACTGCAAGTAAAATAATCAACCAGTCTGGCATAGTCAAGGCTTAAAATTACACTGTTTTAGAATGTCTACACCTTGAGAATGACTGAGAAATTGGTGCAGAATAGAATCCATCAATTTAATCTGGGTCATAAAACTGTCTTTTTATTTCTAAAAAAATGGTAAAATTAGTTTGCAATGAGGAAGACTAAAAATGAACTATTCTTATAAATAAAGTTGCATTTTATGAGCATGTGTTGTTCAGAATGTAAACTGAGTAACAGCGCCAACACGGAAAAGCCAGCTGTTTGAAAACTGGAGCTAAATGATAATTTTCCATTTTCCTCTGAGTCGGATCCAGACAGACGTGTGCTGCAAACACATATGTGAGCTTTACAAGGTCGTAATCTGTAGCTGGGCTCATGCAATCTGGAAACTCACTAAATGTCTTGTGGTGGCAGTTATAACGAGCAGTTTTCCACTGCTTTCACTAATGTCTCTAAATAAGAGGGCTTTTTTTTTTTTTAGAACTGATGCAAATTCTATTTGACATCAAGTCAGAATAAGCAAATTCTCCTCAAAAGGAAAAAAGAACAGACGACCTGAATAAACCTGCAAACTAGAGTTCAAAGTAAAATAAGTTTATTTGATCTTAAAGATAAAAGATTGAAAAAAATTATAATAGAAAAAAAAATGAAATGAACATGCACAGAGAGCATTTCAAACAGTCTCTGAAAAGTGAGTCTTATATAGAGCTAACATCAATGTCCTTGACAATGTTAAACTTTCTGGAGTTGAGAAGGGAAAAACTGGTAAAATGTCATGAAAACATGCTTCAATGGGAACTGCAGGTCATGGCAGGCTAGCTTGCATACAAAAAAATCTTCCCTGTGTCTCTCTGTACGGGAACAGGACATCTAAACTAACCTGAGTTGAGGTCTCGTCCCGGGTTGAATGCCCTGCTGTTGACTGTGGGGGAAAGTCTGTCACAGCAGATGGTCTTGGACACGTTGGTATTGAAGTTTCCATCAAACCTGCAGACATGCAAAGAGGAAGCGTTTGAGAATTTACAGAGAATGGCCAGTTGTTTGTTGGTGAAACTGCAGATTTAACACTACAAACCAGATCTGTAAGTCTGATTACTCAGCTTTATACTATACATGCTTTTACTTAAACTATCTCCTAAGACATAGAAGGATTTCATAAAGGGAAACAAGTGAAATCATGTCGGTTCAAAACCAAAATCAAACATCGGCTAAAAATAATAGACTTTTCTTGTTTTATTACAGTGCAGTTAAGTTGCTAACTGTATTATCCGATGCCCAGAACATTTATGAAAGCAGATTTTATGACTCGTGAATAAAACTTTCCATGGAAAATGGCTGAAATTCTCCAAACATCCCTATTACCCAGCTGCCTAAATAAATAAAGAACAAGCACCAATGAAAACTCATGCTGGTCTCTTAATTTGATGACTTAATCATGAAAGTAAAATAATCCAATCTCAGTCATTCTCATAGCCTTGCAGCATACTGCACTTAACTTTAAATCAAGATTTATGATTAGTACTTTAGGATTAGTACAACTAACATTTGAGTTTAGGAAGACCCCTCTATCTTCTAACATTGAATGAACTTTTGATATGTGAGTCTAACACACAAAACTAGAATCTGGTTTTAAAAAATTGATTGCACAGAATAAGGATACATTGCATGTATCCTTATGCAGAAAACCAGAAGCTTCCCTCTTTCTGCTGATCAACACAAGATTGTGAAAGTTTATTGTGACCTGTGCAGCTATACACCATGACCGGCTGTCATACCAGAAAACAGATTACAATGCGTAGAATGAGAATGTAACCTTCTTTTGTTGACAACCACATTACATCACTACATATTTACATTTTTACATAGCTTTCTGATGAAGTACGTAAGTTTGAGGAATGTGACAAAAACAGAAAAAAATCTAAATTTAAGCAAGTAAGATCTTGGAAAGTTGTTATATAGTTAATCTAATTACTGTTGCAACCAACATCAACTGGAAGGTCTTGTTCAGATATAAAACCTTAGCTTATAATCAGTGGAATTTATACTATTAAACACAAGTTTAACATTTTACATTTTAGAAAATCACAGTTGTAAAATGGGCTCAGTCTGTTCGAGAAACGTTATTATAACAATAGCATTTAATGACCCACAGATTATACGTCCTTAATTAAACCATCTTATCCATTTCATGGAGGTGTTTCAAGAAAAGAAAGCAAGTGAAAGAGATCCAATTAAAAAAGAAAACCATGTATATTAGATTATGTTGTCCACAGCACAATCTTTATCAGTTGAGAGAGAGCACCCAAAGGTAATGAGAAGACAAGGTCATAGGAAAATGAAGAGCTTCAGGCTTTGATGAAGAAATAAGTACAGACATTGGGAGGGAAAAGAAATAAAATAAAAGAAGTGACTGGATTTTGGTGTGCAAAGCATATGGTTTTAGTTAAAACGAGCTCAGTTTACTGCAAAGAGAAGAACATTTCAGCAAGGGGGAAAAAAAAATTACTTGTCTACACAGAATAATTTTTCCACACTGTTCCCGACAGCTTTTCAAAATGAGCTCTGGTGTGATTCGATTTATGTAGGTCTGCAATATCTACTATAGAGATCGAGCACTCTTTTGCTAATTGTAATGTCTCAGAGATTTCCGCAACAGGATGTGCCTGAGTTGATCAGGTGGTGGTAGTGAAGCTTGTCCTGCATTGCACCAAGCATGGCCACTTTGATCCCTTCCGTCCTTCAGCTAGACTAACCCAGAAATCCACAACCCATGTCTAGAAACAAACATTTTTTCACATGTGTCTCAGAGTTACATCCCCAGTGATGGTCAGTTTAACTGATAGAAGTATTAATGCACAGATTGCATTTAAACTGCTCATTAAAAACCTCATAATTCTTCTTCACGATTCTCCTTCATCCCAGTCTGCAGGCGGGGGAGGGCACGAGGCAAAGTGAAATGTGTGCTAGATGTAAAAAATAAAAAACCCAGCAGCTTTGAATTCAACATCAAAAAGCCGTATGTGAGGGAAGAGAAAAGCAGGAATGAATGCAGTGAGTTTTAAACATCTTAATTATGCGGTGGAATTGGTTTGGAGAAAAAAAGAAATGGGATTCAGCTCATCAGAAATGAAAAGATCACACACGATTTGGTTTAATAAAATAAATAAATAAAATATAGTCATGTATGCAAAATAGCTGTGCAATGCATCAAATTATTCTCCAACTTTAGATGTATATCAATAATAAGATGTTGGAGAAACCATTGAAAGGGGCCAGAGAGAATATTTAAAACTTGCAGCATGAAGCAGAAAATCCCAAATAGAACAGCGCCTGGTGTTTTCAGCCGCTACAAGTTTGTAGAATCTGCTACATTAAGCTGCACCCTGCAAAAGGAACCATGTATCAGACAGTTATGCTCTCTTGAAAAATCCCCATGAGAACAATTACCTTGAAGAGACTTTCTGCTGTGTGAGCCGCAGAGAGTAATACCATTTCTAATGTGTTTGCAATCCCTCTGCTGCTGCAGCAGTGGCAAAGCAACCAACACGAAACCCATAGAATTGAAATGCTTGAAAAAAGCCTTTTATGTATCCCTGGATGATAAAGTGGCTCTACCGAAGAGGAATGTAAAGGCAAAATGCCGAATGGATTTAAGAGAAACTGCTGTATAGAAAAGGGGACCGGATGGCACTGAAGTACAGTGTGTCCATTTTATATCTCTGTTATAGGGGACACGGAATGTCCGAAAGATTCGCTACATCCCAAACATACCAAATAATGCTCTAGTGCACTCCTACAATTTTATTTTTTTGTCACATTAAAGCCTCAAATTTCAGTGCAATTGACTGATATCTAAGTGGCAGCGCAATACAAACTGGTATGTCGCTGTGAAGTGGAAAGAAAATATCGGTAAATGTATTAAAAATACTTCACAAATACAAGTCAGAAAATTTTGGAATAAGTTTTTTTTTTTTTTAACTTCCTTTAATCAAATATGCCTAAAAACTAGGGCCATGATTTTCTACAGAAGTCGAGAAATAGATTAATGGTATTAAGATATTTTCAGATCATTATTTAATTCATTAATTAACTAATTCATTCATTCATTGATCTTTGCAGTCTACTGAAATGTTCTGACATGAAATAGGAGGGTTGAAGTCTATCCATGTTACAGCCCCTGGCCTCTTGGCTGTGTGTAGGGTTTTGTTATGTAGGTTCAGCTGTGATGGCTCATCTCCTGATTGGCTACCTGGAAGCTGCAGGAACTACACCCATTGGACCAGAAGGGAACTGCAAGCCACCAGATGTTAATGAGACTCACCTGGTTCTATAAAAGGCTCCTGGAATCATTTCCTCAGGGGGACAGCTTGTAGGAGTAGGTTTTGCTCTGCTGTTCCCCACCTTTGATTTGTGATTGTCTTTGACAATTTTGTGAATATTTTGGTTGTTTGTTCTGCTAGAGCAGGTTGACTTTGATTTGGTTGATAACACAAGTCAGACACTTGTATTTAGGAGGCTTGCTGCTCCTTTTGTGTGTTTGTTCTTTTTTTCATTTTCCTTTTGGTTTATTTGAATTGCTATGGACTGACTTGTTTGGGCACTTTGTGATTTACTTTGCATTTGCTTTTTTTTTAATGCTGTCAGTCCTTTCTTTTGTTTTAATTGGATTAAGTGGTATCGCATCTTGGTTTTGTGAGAACTTTGTTTCTTTTTGTAATAAATCACCTTTTTATTTATCCCTCCTATTCTCTGGAAATTTTTTTGTTACCGCCCTGAACCCCTAGACCAATAGGGGCGTAACAATCCACCAATAGTACAGACATGAAACTTAGCAAGTAGTAAAAAACTGATATCCATTATGTTCCGAGTGTGTAATTTATTCTCTGTAGAAATCCAGCTTTTCTGTAAAGGCTAGTTTTGAAATATTAGTAAGGCTGCAGAAACTAGGCAAGACGGCATTAACCAGAGATTAGGACTGTCTGATAACAGTCATACAGTGTATAAATATTCCCTGATGAGGGACAAGAAGAAAGTTATTGTTGAAATAAAGCCACAGTTTGTAGGGTTTCAAATGAAAGACCTGAGCAAAAGGTCAGTGTTGTCAGATAACACAAATATTTGACAAGCGATGTTTGTGTTGTCAGAGTTCTCATAAATAAAAACATCAGACTTTTATTGATGAGAACTTTAGAAAACCATGTATCTGTTTTATTTTCACTTCACAATTAAGTGAAGTGAAGTGTTCTGGTCCATATTCTAAAATTCCAATATATTATATTGAAGTTTGTCATGTGAAATAGTGAAATGGTAATTTCCCACAAGACACTGAAGTATAAGTAAAAGCAGCAAGTAAAAATTGAACTACGGTTTCAGAACAATTATTCTGAGTATGCTTTCAGACAGACAACAAATCAAATTCTTTTACAGGAATCCCACCAGCAATAACTCAAAACAGGCTGGAATAAATGGCCGTCAAAGAGGTGAAAGAAGAAGCTACATTCAGAAATTCAAACATGTTTTGCACAAGTTACAAGCTGTATTAACAATAAGAGCATTATGGGTGTCTAACTGTTAATTTTAGACAGTTGCAGATAATAAACACCAACAGCCCCTACGTGACTTTATAACTATGTGAGAGATGGGGATCTATTCCACATGGAGTCCAGAAAAACTATAAATCAAGTTTACAAGCGTATCAACTAAGCTGCACGTATCTTCGCTGATATACTGCAGGGAGCAGCAGTGAGGCCAAAGCCCACTGGCTTTTCTCTGTAATAGCTGATCGTCATAAGAGGCAGTGGTAGTCAAGATTCAAGTTTAATGAAAATAAAATAAAATGCTGCAGCAGATTATGCTGCTACTGTACAGAAATAGCTTGTTTTTGTCTTCCAGTTGCATTTATACATGGTAAACAAGTGCAAGCTGCAATCCCTCCCTGTACTTTAATCTCTTAGTGTGTGTTTCAACTTATAAGGTGAAAAGATATTTGCTAAGCTACATTTTTTGGCCTCCATCTCAAACATCAGCACCAGCGCATCATCAAAACAGAAATAGTCCGCATAACCAAGATGCTCACATCGCTGTAAATAAACGCTGCTGAATAATTTAATCTGCTGCTCTGCTTTCACATTTTCTCTCTTGCTTCCAGGAAGATCTTCAAAGTCCAGTTTCACTCTTAGGAATGCAAAAGCAATAAATCTGAGCTTGATGCACAGCTGTGCCCCAACATATTGATGGCAGACCACAGTGACCAACAAAGCTTGAACTTATACTATCTTGTAATATTGCCAAGTTTGAATTCATTCTTGTGATTAAAAATGTTATGATACAAGAATCAATAACCTTTTTAAGTCACAGGGAGTTTTTTTTTGTTGTTGTTTTCTTTTTCAAAGGGATGTGAAGAAAAAAAATCAGTAAATATATTTAGCTTGAAGAATCAGTAAAAGGACAAAATTACTATTTGGTTAATCTTGACTTTGACAACTAAGATTATCATCATCAGTAGATGCAGAAAATGTTTGCATAAAGGGTTAAACTGGAGACTAAAAGAGTTCCGTTAGAGGAGGCATTAGAAAATAGCGATAAAGAACATCCACACTGGTTACTGAAGCATAAATAATGACCCTCATGCAACTTGGCAGCACTTTTGATATCTAATCTCAAATGTGCAAGCAGAGATCTAGTCATTTTGTTGACTGTGTAACCAAGAGACAAGATGATCTGCTTGATGTGAATTTCAAGAAGTAATTCACCACAGGAACATATACCTTTGAAGTGACCCGTCAGCCTGTCACTAGTATAAATAGTGAGAATGTTCCTGCAGAAACATTACCTAGGCATTAACACCATGAAAACTTTAATCGTAAATGGAAATTCTGCATTATCACCTCTAATGTAACACTGCATCCATACATAATGAATGAATGAATGAAGCAAAATATATTTGTTTTCCAATAAAAGTCAGGCATGAATTTTGTTAGAGGATAATGTCAGCTTAACAAAGTGATATTTGTATACGCTGCACACAAAATTCTATAAAACATACACTTAATTTCTATTCTACTGAATAACAGTTAAGTAAATAGCACACTGTATGCTAGGTAACTAGGTTTCTGTTAGACTGATCACAGTTAAAAAAATATAGAAAAATCGCAGAACAGACAAATTATTGTCTAGTATTTATGTATTAGAACAATGGCATTTTTTCACACATTAGTGTGTTTTAGATATATTCATAAGGTGCTTTTATCTTAAACACAAACTTTAATATATAAAAAAACAATTTAGAGATTCACCTAAAATCAATTGATGAAAAGTACCACCTACGCAGCTGCACAGCACACTTGTCACTTTTACAACTGCTTCACAGCAAAAGTGTTGAGAAGAACATCTAGAGGTCTCATGTCAGAAACATAAACATACAGGCACACACATATTCAACAAGTCATATCTATTTTCAGATGGAGTCAGTTTGTGAGACCAAGCGATGATTAAAGCATACCACCGAATGCTAACCGCTGCCCTCTGTGGCCTCCCGGAGAAAAGATAGGCTGCCAGACATGAGCAGTGTGTGAACCACCTGATCCCCTGTAAACTGCTTGACCTGACTGAGACCCCAGAAAACAGCTGAGGTCTGAAACTAGTGAAAGACACCAAGAAGTGGATTGAATAGACTTCTGGTCTTACCACTAGCCGAACATACAGCAACTCCCATCTGTTTTCGTAGCCAAGTTTTCTCTCCCATGTTAGGCTTAATTGGACCTGTCATGGTTGAGTGTGGGCAATATATTAAAAGTTTTGCTGGACAAATATGTCTAAACCAAATAAGAAGACAATTTTGTCAGAAGGAACATAGCCTAGTTTAGCAACAAAAACGGATACTAACTTACATGACTTTTTTTTTACATTTAGAAATTGTTTAAAAAAATAAAATAAAAAATATATTTTTATATATATATATATTTATTTATTTATTTAAAACCTGATTTCAAAATCTAAAGGTCAAAATATCAATGATACTAAGTTGAATCAAAGCAAAGATCCTGTTAGCCTAAGCTCACTTCTATCCTAATTTAATGCTCATTTATGTCAATATGATAAGTTTTGACTTCAAATTACACATTAAAGGTCATGTTTTAATTAATAGGTTAGGAAACATGATGCATTATTTGCTGGTTGAAAATGTAAAGAACTATAACTTATTAAAACTATAAATGTGTCTAGTCCTCTTCAGCCTAGCTTTGTTTAAGCTAATTTTAGAGATCTGGGCATATAAAGCTGGATTTTTTGTAGGTATCTTATGATCATGTGCAGATTCAAAAATGAGAGAAATACGAGCAAGAGAGGTAAGTTTTCTTCCTCCCTTGGGGAAAATGCTTTGAAGTTTGAAGATCTATCAGATTCAGCTTCAGTTTGGCACATCTATCACTACCACCTCCATTGTGACTCCCTGCATCACATCTTATTACCTGCCAAAGCTTCTCATACACATCTTTTATCCTAAACAATGTTTTTACCCATTTCAGTCTCTTAAAGCTGTAAACCAGAGTTTTTAGCACTGTGCTAAAATGAACATGTTGCAGCAAAATCATACAGCAAACTGAGTGTGAACAAGCACTGAATGCATGCCCAGTATGTGGAGCACTTGGTGTGGATACAGGTGGCTGGTGGCTCTGAGCCAGACAACCGTCCCCACCCCTACTTTCTGTATGACGGGAGGAAAGACAGGTGACCAAGCAACCTGTGAAGTCTGCAGTGCAAAAACTTCAGAGAGAAGTAACTAGTTGTGTTGGCTGATAAAGGGGAGGGAGATAGAGAGAAATGGAGAGAGAGCGGATGAAGGGAAGAGACAGCTGCAGCTCTGTAGATTAGAACTGAAAACTGTGCCGCCTTTTTCTGTGCTCAGCTTTTGAACGGTGTTTTCGCCTGCAGGAGTTGATGATTGGCTGAGAAAAAGCCTGGTCGATAGTAGACCGGACCAATTTTAAACTTTCTGCAAAAGGCTTAAATGTGAAATACTTAACCTTACATCAAGTTTTTAAAAAATAAAAACAAGTCTCCAGCACTGGAACTGTTTACAAATCCCTATCTATTTTTGGAAAAAGTACATTGCATAAACTCATCAAGAGTTAATAATAAGTTTTACAATATATACCACTACAAAGTTGATGCAAAAATTGTTATTTTCCAATAACAGTGTGTAATGCTTCCATTCTTGAAATGAAATTGAACTCATAATGATGTTTTACGGTAAGCTTATTCTGCTCAGTGCAGTAAGATGTGATGTACTCTGTTATGACAAATCGTGGTTATCAAACTATATCTAAGCTAGTGATAAGTTTGGGGACCAGGATGATATACTTCTCAATACAATTGAATGCTGTGTTGGATGTGCATTTACACAAAATAATGAAACGTCCTGCAGATCTTCTACCTCATGACACAAAGGATAAAATTTGTGGCCTTCTAGTTGTTTTTGAGGGAAAATTACTCACTCCATCATGGATGCAGGTATGGAGCAGCAGTCCTGTATTGCTGTGAGAGGAGAGGTGAGGTGGGCCGTGTAGGACGCCTCCACCACCTGCTTGTTTCTGTTCACCACATCCAGGTAGCGGTTAAACTTTTCCCGAATCTTCTTGGCCAACTGCAGAGAGGAAACACAAAATGTTAATAAAACTATTTGAAGAGGTAGTTATACTTTTAAGGAAATTAACATTTATGTTAGCATTTGCAAATATAAAGACTGCAATTAAGACGGACGAATCAGAAACATTTACAGTTTAGGAAATATCTGTCGTTCCAGATCATTGACTTTATATTGACCTTTGGTCAATAGTTGAATAGGGGCAAATGTTGTAATTTTCAGAAAACTTATGTTTTTATTGGTTTTTGTGAATATAAAGATTGCAACATATAATCAGAAATGTTCTTAATTTAGGACACATAAAGCGCATGTGCTTTATGTTGACCTCTGCCCTGTTCTATGCCCTCAAGATCTAAAATCATTAAAAAAAAATTTAAATTCCACTGTTACATTTTCTTGAATGTAACCAATAGGATGTGGAATAGTACGGATTATTCAAACTTGGACTGAATTATTCTTCCATAATTCTTTAAAGCACATGTTTTAATATGTGACTAGTTTTGTTTTTTGTTAAATGATGTCAATCTTATTCTGTGTTCTCGTCAGCTGGATCTGTCAACCGAATTTTCCCATCTGTATGGATCCTGGAATCACCCACTTCAGCACAAAAACAATCTATGGCCTGCTACAACATCCACATGCACAAACATCCACATGTATTATTTATCATCAAGGAAGCTGAGTAACATCAAAGATGCTTCATGCCTCAGGCTACAGAGTGAGAAATTCATCATGGTTAGCACCAGAAATATGTGATGGATGGCTAAAGCTCAAGAATACAAACTTGCCGTCATGCTGCTCAGTAATTTAATAAGAAATTCAACCCTGACCAACAAGAGTGAGCCAATCAAAAGGCTGTGCTATTGCAAATACTTGCTAGGATGAAAATTTGCACGACACAACCCTAATTTAAATATACAATCCACAACTATCTTTCATGTGTTGTGCACATATGTATGCAAAAGATTATCAAGTAATCATCTTTTTGATACTGCATGTTTTCTCAGAGGCAAATATATTTCAAAAAGTGTGGTGGGGTGGGAGGCTAGGGAGGATCAGCTTTTCACTGATGTTTTTCCCCCCTGAACCACTTTAAATTATGCAGTGTTTTCTTTAAAAGGACATGTTTTGGGTTGCACATCCCCACACTCTTTCTGAATGGAGATCCAAATATTTCAGGAATTCAAGAACTATATCTGCAACAGCCACCTGGGAGAACAAATAGCTCATTATTAGTATTAAAAATAAAACTTCAGATTCTGAGTTTTTCTACTACAGCGTCAACAATGTAACAACCTCAAGTTATGGCAGAGATTGTTTGTTCCACCTTTGATGGCAAAGTTACATTACTTTTTTAATTTCCTGCTTTAATATTTTTAAGTTACCTGCTTACAAGAATGTTTTTTTTTAATATATATTTTTCTGGCATCTCATATGCGTTACGTTTTGGTCATTATCAGGCTAAAAGACTCAATAATTACTCCACCATAACTAAATACTCGACTCTAGATGCTGGTTGTGCTCTCGCTTGTGGACCACCACTACACGCTACTGGCAGCAATATTTCATAGACATTTCCATTTTGCCATAAATGGTATAATAGCAGTTATACCTAAAGTGAAAAATTAACAGCCATTTCAGGCAATTGGCAGTGATTGGTCTCAGAATCAGCAGCCCTGATCAGAGCATCCCTAGTTCTCAAAACAGAACCAAATACACAGCCACTAAACACACTGGGGATGGTTTATATCCTCCCCAGCTAGCTGTATTGAAGATTTATAATTAATATTCTGATCAAATGTAGTTCAAGTGACTGAAGGCATCTGTGATGCTAGAGAAGCAGATTGGTTGATTTCCTGTTTGTGACATGGCTTTGGGTTTAATTGCATATCAAGCAGATAACTTTTTCCAATTACTCAAGGCAGATGCTAAGGCTGTGACAAACACAATTTAAGTTCTTGTAATTATATTATGTTAAATGTTTGGATGTTGTTCAGGAATTACTTAATACCACCAATCTTTCTGCTGTCGAGAAAAATGTTTGTTCCGCTTACTTTGCTCCCAAAAGGTGCGAGAGCTTCTGGAGCATTTTGTTGTTCCAGAGAAGAAAAAATAATCACAAAAAGCTTTATATTAAGTGAATAAACTAATACAAATCATTAACATAGGGTGTTAAAACCAGAAACCTAAACGAGACACTGATGTCCAAATGCCTTCAGCAGGCACAGAAACATCTAATAAGCTTTTCTGAGTACAGATGAAAGCTTATTTCCACAGTAACTGAACCCCCTTTGTTCACATCCCGTAATTACTGCTACTTGCAAAAAAGCCTGTGACTGAAACCAGGACCAGGAAATAAAAAAAGAAAGAAAGAAAGAAAAAAAGTGAGCGACCCCGACCCACTGACCGCTTGTACACCTAATCAGCCAGCCGCTATTCCTCTTTGGACCTTAATGGGAGCCTGAGGCGCAGCACGCAATTATTGCTGCTTCTCTACAAGCAACACAGACAGCATGACACGTACACTCATGTTGTCACACAGCAACTTCAAGCTAAAATCCTCCGTGGTGGTAATGTGAATTTCACGGCAATTAGCTAAAGTGAACTTTGCTTTGAATATGGATAAATTGGCCAGAGTTCAGCGGAGGAGGGGTTCTCTGGCAGGGCTAGAGAGTGATAGAAGCCCAATTTAAGTTTTAACAGAAATGACTTAAAAGAAACCAAACTGTTTTGGTGGTGGACGTTAGAGCTTAGGTTACAGTCCGCCATGAAGCAGCCAAACCAACCTGCTTTCCTCAGATTAACCAAACTCTCCAGAACACAAGAGCTCTACTCTACTATGTGAATCGCTCCACTAGGCTCAGGCTTATAAAGCCCACCGGACCAGAATCAGCCACCACAAGTACTTACTGGGAAGTATGTGAACATTTCATATTATTCCAGAGTCCTCACTTCCTTTTGGCCCGATTTCAGAGTACAAATACCAATGTTTGTAATGATTATGTATTCAATATTTCTACTGTAAGCAAGCTTTAAATATGAAAACTAGAAAAACATTGTCTGGCAATGTTAATTTAGTCATGTATTGACTTCCTGTTTCCATGGTCTAATATGACACTTCAGAAGCCAATTTCTCAAAATAGCTAAAAGAAAATAACTTTTCGCTTAAACTTCCCAATGTAGAGTCAGAGAAATAAAATATTTAAAACTGAAACGGTGAGAGCATGACTGGACAAGAAGCCAAGTTTATCTTGCAACCATACCCACAGAGAAGGATGGTAGAGAAGGTATGGATAAAATAAATATCCCAAATGTCCACAGTTGGGGAGTTTTAGCCATTTCTCTTTTCAAGAGGAGACTATACTGAAGAATTTATTAAAGGGATTGTATACATATAAATCCTAGCAAGCCAAGTAGCTACATAGATAAATAACAACACAAGTATATAGCCAGCTGCATACATAGATCCTAGAGAGATAGAACCACATAATGCAATCCTCACAAAACAAAATATATAAAAAGTAATCAAAGCATTTATTTTTAAAAAATTACATGAAATAACATAAATCTATTCAATGCAATGCTTTTTTTTTGTAGGAGAACAATAGGAGAACAATTCAAATAGAACCTAATTTTTGACATCAAAAGAACCAATTAATTTCTAGCTGTCCTTTTGAATTCTGAATGCAAAGCTCCTGCTGTTTTCAAAATGGAGGAATGCACTGTAAAACTCCAAAAGTGGTGAAATTTGATCATATGTGGATGACATTTAACAAATACAGGTTTTCCCCTAAACTTTTCCAATGGGGCTTCTAGAAACTGTTTTCATCATTACTACCTCTGACCTGTGTGTATGACTCAATCAATCAAAGCTATGGTTTTCTTTGAAGCAACATATGGAAGAACAGACCACAACCGAAACATGAGTCACTCATAAACAATAATCAAAGAAAAAGCTACATTTATGAAGTGAGTAAATAAGATTAATGGAACAAATACAGTGCATTTCCAAACTCGTTGAGTTATCGTGACAAGGATGTATAATTCTGAAATTGCAAGGCAATTATTTTTCCATAAACAAACAGCCCTATGCTTTCAACAGTTTTGATGTCATTTAGCCACAGAGTAAACACTGTTCCCAAACTGCTCCAAGTCACAAATAATGCTGGTACATAAAGTTTTATTGAGCATATAACCACTTAAGTTAGGGATGCAATGATCCACTTTTTTCACTTCCAATATTGATACAGGTGTATGAGGGGTGGTATTGGCAGATACGATACAGAAAAACTGTGCTGAATTGACTTGAAATATATATATATATATATATATATATATATATATATATATATATATATATATATATATATATATATATATATATATATATATTTTTTTTTTTTTAAACAGAGTACTCCACAATTATTTGGTAAGGACAAGTACAACACACTTAAACCAACAGTTTCACAAGCTAAGTCAAACATGTAAAACAACATAACTCATTTGTTCAGTGCAATTAGGAGTACAACCGTCAATGTAAAATAAATAATAAAGAAACTAACACAAACAACAATTTGACTACCAAGGTCAAACAAAAAAAAGAACCACAACAAACATTTAAAATGGTTCAGAAAGTGCATTTAGGAATTCGAAATATATTTTAAATAAAGTGCAACATCGATCAGAGTACAACGCGCAGTCTAAGACTGAATAGATCTACCCTTACAGACTGCACATTGTCATCGATACCTTATTAGGTTTTTATTTCTATAAAGGGACTGATACAGATATTATATATCAGATATTAATCGGTGCATCTTTAATTAAAGGTATGGCAGAATTTTCTAAACTGGAAAAATATCTTCCAACTGCCTATGGAGATGCAACAAGTGCCTAATCCATTTTTATTACCATCGCCTGAGCACAGACAGCATGTGATCCAGTTGCCCTTATAACTATGGTTTTACGAAGATTAAAGCAAATTTAAAATTCATTCTGTTTTCCTCAATGCAAATAACCAGCTCAAATTTAATAATTTGACAGCATATGTCAACGAGCAGGACAGTGAGACAAAGACAGGCACAGAGAGTGAAAGCCCATGTCGTTACAGAGGGACAGATGTCTGCACAGCAGTCTGAATAATGAATTTCCATGAGGACAGCCTCGCTGAAGATGCCGGTGGCTCCTCTTTGTGGATCCTTGTCTGTTTCTCTTCTTCGCTTTCTCCCATCTCAACTGTTTCTCTGCAGATACTCTCCTAATTGAACCTCGCCTTGGCTCAGGGACACAGCCCCTCTTCCTAGAGAGCGAGAGAGAGCCAACTATGTCAGAACGATAATCTGAAGTAGTTGGAGCCAACCTCAGTCGGGTTACGATGAGAATTTAGGCTGGCTGCTGAAATAAATACTTCAAGTCTCAGACCGAACAACTTTATTTCTGGAGTCTTCAAAAAAAGATGCTCATTTAAAAAGATAATGGGAAGTGTTTTAAGGTTTTATTTTGTGATGTCTTAGACTACAAAACAATGCTTTAAAATAAGTTTCAGCTGCCTCTGGAATACTAAATACCAGCAAGGTGTGAGGCACTGTACTCTACTCACATACACACTTCCATGTGCTGACACAGACAGAAACAAACAGAGACACAGTCACCGGAGAAATGCAAACAATCGTCAACCTGTCTGTTCTTGCTGGTGGCTGTTTACCACTGTGGTGTACATTGTCACTTTTCCAAGATCCCTGACGCAGAAAAGCAAACACAAACACACACTTTTACACACCGCGCCTGCACTCAATTATGTTAGATATGACACCGGGTGCCAAAAACCCAGAGTAGATTTCTATTTCCATAGTAAAATCCAAAATGGGGCACAAAAATTTTGACATTTGGATTGAAGAAAAATTATTTAAGAAAACCATTTCATTTTGCAGCAGCTCATCTGTCCTCCTAACGGTTTGTCCAAAGCTTTGCGCTCTTACTATAACAAGGTGAGAAAAGGGATGGATAGTCAGAGACAGAGGAGTAAAAAGAAAAATAAGTTACGAAACTTCAAAGCCGCAGGGACAGCAGATATTGAATTTTAATAAACCCCCTGGTGTCTGTCCTCAGTGTTGCTGAAGTGAGCACTACACAAGACTCAGACATTCGCCATGGCACATGCATGCACAGACAAGCAGGAAAACGAGCGCGCACACACACACCCACCCACCCACCCACCCACACACACACACACACACACACACACACCACACACACACACACACACACACACACACACACACACACACACACACACACACACACACACAGCAGAGGTCTTTGTTACTCACCTGCTGAACTTCTGTCTCTCCGTTTGATGTCTTCTCCGTGTACACAAATGAGTTGAAAATCCTCTGGAGAGAGAGAGAGAGAAAGCAGAGAGAGTGAGGTTGGACCAGCTAAAGGACCAATTTAATTAAGAGTGACCATCAAGACTGTGTATTAAGGAGAGAGTTTGTGACACATTATCTCTGTGCTGTTGACCGATGTTCATCGTCATGCTAAACATTTTAATCCCATGGTTAAAGTGCGAAGTATGTAGCTTCAGAAACACAACTAAGCAACTAATTTTATTTAAGGTCTCCTCCATATTAACGTTAAAACATTATACATAAATTATATTGAAAATGTCTAATCTACAGTATTTTGTCAAAATGTCAATGATGCATCACTCCAACTGTAAGCCAATGACCAAGTTGTTTTCAATGCCATATTCTCTGAAATTCAGGAATGATAAAACTTGACTCTGTAACTAAAACAGATCCATGTACCAGTACTAATTCACATTACTTAGGTGGTCCCTTAAAATCAAATGGTAAGATTAAAAGGTGTCCCTCAGGGCACCGTAATTGAGCCAACACGTCATGTCAATACAGTTTCTCTGTCTTTAATTAGTCTGCATGTTATATATGACATTACCATTTTTTCCACCTTAAATATGCACTAACTGCTGAATAAACAGTTTAGTACAGTTGTTTTTGAATCTATGTGTTGCCATTTTGGGCATTTATACTTTCTTTTTGTACCAGTAAACCAGATTGTGTCTGACAATGATAAATTTTGTATAAATGCTATCAAAAATTCCCAATTATGGTGTAAAATTGAAATCACTTCTACATTAAATCTAAATATCTTATTTCCAGTTCACATTATGATGTGAACTGGAAATAAGATATTTATTGAAGTCACATAAACACATTTTCCTAAAGTAGACAATGAGTAAATAAAGAAAAATACATCCAATCATATTGTAAAACACAATATAGATAAATGTTGATTGATTTAATTAAAGGCTAAAAAAAAATCACATTAATACTAAATAGGACACTATCAAAATGAAATATGTTACAGCAGATGGTACCATCATCCATGCACAATGTGCTCCAACTGAGCACACTACTGAAGGTAGTGTGTATTTATTTTTTTTAATAAATCATGTTTTTATTGTAACATGAAAAAAGAGTTGTTACATGTATCCAGAAATATCAATGTTTTATCACCTCTGTCTATATAAATGTTTATGTTAACAATATTGTTCAAAAATGCATTTGGACAATGTCAACATTACAGTCTTTAAAATTAGAGATGACATAATGCTACCTGGACACTTTTTCATCAGTCATAATGAAGTATTATAAGTGTGCACAAGGTCAGTTTTTGTACATATATCTTAGATTTAAGCTACCAAGCCAGCAAGGCAAAAGAAACTCTTCCTAGATGAACTCTGAATATGTTTGAAGAAAGTTCATAATATGAATTCAGGGTTTGTGAAAATGCAATAACTAAAGAGTCATTTTTGAAAATGCCAACGAGAAGTCTTTGATAACAATAATTATGGATGTCAAGTAATTTTTTACTTGACATCCAAGTCAAGTGATCATTTTGTCCAACGTAAATTACAATTACTGATATTACAGCCACTCATTAGGAAATGTATTATCATTTATATCACTGGAATCTTAGATGATCCATTAAGTTATGGCAAGCGTATCAGTCCAAACAATAACGTTGCTTTACTGAACATTTGTAAGTGAAAATGCACCAATCAATTGCTAGAGGTCAGAATATTCTGATTTTAAGCCAATCTGACCTGTGATCAGTAGGTCAAATACAGAAGAATCTTTGTTGTAAATAAAGAGTAAGAACACACACCATTTTCAGTTAATAAACACCTCATTCAACATCTATTTTGATGCACTTCTTCACTTTAAAGAAAAGTAAGCACATTGGGGACATAATGCTTTGATGTACAAATGGGGATTAACATTGCGAGTCCTTCATTTTCATTGTTATATGTAGAACTGCTACTTCAAGTAAAGCACCTGAAACATGTTGCTCAAAATGACAAAAGAAAACCTTTATCAGTCAAAATATAAAACATGACAGGTGAATCATTTTTGTGATCTGGATCTCTTTTTAAGCGTATATTTGAGGCCATCTGTTAAGTCCATACACAGCAACAAATCTACAGAACAATAACTGCAAAACAAAAGAATACATGTTTTAAAATCTTAGATTTCAACTTGAATAAAATTCTGAAGTGGGACCTTTAGAGAATTCTGAAGTGGGACCTTTAGAGAACGCCACAAAAACAAGTTTCCTGAAACCTCAACGCGCTAAACAACATAAGAAAGAGAGGGACAACATTTCTGCACTACATAGTGAGAAACTGATGGATGTAATGCAGAAATAGTCTATTTTAAAGTTATAACAGCTAAATGTAGTTCAACAAATTTCCATACGGCTAAAATAACAGTCATTAAAACATTTCTTCCAGATGATGACGGAGGCTGCTTAAAATCAGCTCAAATATTTGCTCCAGAAAAAAAACTTTAAATCATATAAAATATGGAGAGAAAAAAAATTAATAAATAAAAAACTAAGTAGTCAAAGGTTTTTTTTGCACAAACTGGACCAATTTGTTAAAAAAATAAGACTAAGAAGGTAAGCAATAACCTCAACTACATGTTAAAACCCCCGATTATTGAGACAACAAAGTCCATTCCTTTAGTTTGCTGGTTGACATCGAAAATGTGTCACCTCAGTGTCGTCCAGCTTCAGCACAGATCGACTGTTTTCTTTAGCTGGGCTCACAGGGTGATGTTACATTTCCACATTTACCTTGCAGGCTGAGGCGTTTTAGAAGCCCCTGATGTATACTAAGTGAGCAGGAAGCAGGAACGGAGCATTCAGACATGGGGAAAATGAATCCTGGTGTGACATTATAGCTCAGAAAGCACCAGAGCCGTCTGGTAAATGTGCACCTGCTGTGACACATAAACATAAAATAACAAGCATGCTTTCCTTCAAATGGACTCTAATGCACAGCTATGTACACAGTTTTCTCAAGCCCAGGCAGTAGCACTCTGTGGAAGCTACAAACAGAGGAAAAACTAACGTTTGTGTTGTGGCAGCAGGTAGGCAGGTGGTTCACTTGAGGCTGAACCATCACACACAAAGCCCTAAATTGTCTGGTTTCTACTTTGCAGCCATTTCCTGCTGTCTGTCTACACCTTTTGTAGACACATTCCAGAGGGCCAGCAACAACTTCAAATACACCACCTAACCTGGAGCGCCCTTAAATCTCAACTGCTCTGGAGATTTTTAGTGATGCGATACTGAAGAGGTTTTCAGTTGAAAATATGACGCAGACATCTATAACATCATGGAAAATCAAAACAAAACAAAAAAAAAAAAAAGAAAAACTGTCAGAGTATGGTTCATGACTTTTTTCCAATTTCCACTTGTTAAATTTTCCAGCATGCAAATGAAAAACACAATGCTAAAGACTAACTATAGTTTTAAAAGCTACAGAGGGTTAAACTGAGTACTAACAGGGTATAGCTAATAAAGGACCAGTGAGCATGTATGATAATGTAGAGGAAATCATTTAGACTTGAGAAATTATAAAATAACTTTTAAACTAATTCAAATATATTAGATTACCCACCAGGAATAATAATCATTACTTAAAGCTGCAATGTCAAAGTGTCCACAAAATGTCTCCAGAATATTTTTTATAAAAACAACTGTACAAATTAATTTCAATCAATTATCACACAAGTAATTTAGCAAAACTAAATGTTTTAAATACTGTGGACATGGAGTTTATCCACTCCCTCAGTTCTACAAGAATAACTAATGGACACAAAAACACAGTCTAACTGTAATTGTTTTTACACCAGCCGTCAAACAGAAGATGTTGCCGATCAATAATCTTCTTTGCTAATTACAATAAAAGGTAGATATTTTTATTGTATATATTTCTTAAATTCATTGAAAACTCACAAATTTAGCAGTACATTTAATTTACATCATCAAAGTCCCCACAATCTCAACAGCCTTGTCAAAAACTATATTCTCAGCCCATTTTATTCAGCATTCAACTGCTATTAAGAGCACAAATACAAAGTAGTTAGTATGTCAGTCTCCCAAACATACTAAGAGAAATACAAACTGATGATCTGACTATTCATCATCTTCACTATCACCGTTTTTTGTGCAATCATTTTATGACACTATGTTAATATCATGCTTCATTCACATACAGGTAAAACCATATTTTACTACAGAGTTATCTGGAAGGAGGAACATCCAGCAGAACTGCCACAACATAGCAGGAATTATGTGTTTTTAAACTTTAAAACTACACAAACTTAAGAAGAGGGGAAAATTGAGGAAAGAGCTCTCAATTCTTTCATGCACTAAGCAAACTTTAAGAAAAAAAACAGAGTGAGAAAGCTCCTGTTGTTGATTAGCCACAGGTTAGCTGCCTTTGCCCCATCGCCTCGAGTGTTTGTTGTTGGAGCTGTTTTGCGGTTTTCACAGCTACAGAGCAGTCAGTGAGGAATGCTCGCCTCTGAAACCTGAGAGGCCCGGGGCTGTCTGAGCCACTGGGGCCCCGTGGGCTACCGTGACCCGTAATCAAACAAGGACACCAAAAACTGTGTGGTGTCAGAGCATATTCAAACTTTTCGCTCCAAACCACTGCTGAGCTTGTCTGGGAAAATGGAAGCTCCACTGCCTTTGGGAAGGTCTTCACACCAGTTGAGCTTCCATACTGCACTAAGTTCTGCAAACTTCATTGTATTCAATTGTAAAATTGAATACAATGAAGCATGCTGGTATGCTGTGATATACCAGCATAGCAGCTGGTATATCACAATATGGTTTTCTTGTACTTAAAAAAAAAAAAAAAGAAATCTTAAAATTATATCATGCATTTCTGACTTTGTAGAACCACCTTTCATTGTAATTGAACTAGGAAATGTTTTGGACTTTTCACATTAATTCTCAGCAAAAAAGCTCAGCTTCAGTCAGACTGGATAGATGTCATTGAAAAGCTATTGAGTGA